TGTCCCCTGCCCAGCCCCCAGATTTCGCTGGTTCCGGGACTGCCTCTGCCTCAGCCTGTCGAACAAGTGTCTCTTTGAATTGGAGAAGGCCATGCTGCGTCTTTAGCCTGCAAGTTGAACAATCAGAGGTCAAGGTTTCCCAGTCGTTAATGTCTGTTCCCAAGGCCTTTAGATCCCTGTACAATGCTACAGTAATCCATAGGATATGATTAAAACATATACGATTGGTTTGGTATCTTGAAAATATGTGGACTTTCCCACTTTAGAGAGACCAAGCTAGACTCAGACCTCTAAATAATAGTTTTGTTTCTGTAACTAGTGTGGTTACCATTCATCTTTCGTTTTTCTTTTTTTCTCCTTAGAAAATATGAAACAAGGAGGCCAGCACATTGCCCTAAGAAAGTCAAATTGTCTTCATCTTGTTTCACTTTTGCTCTGCTTGGATGCTGATTTCAAGAATTACTGTAACAGCAACCTGCTTCTAAATTTATCAGTTTAAGAATTATCTTAAATGGAAAGGAGGAAAGGCTGGAAAGTAGCTTAATTATTACTGTCAACAATGCTCAGTGCAGAATTATTCTTTTAGAAAAGTGACCTTTGCTTATCCAGGACTTTAACAAATAAGCAAGAAATTTAGATATTTCCCTGTGTAATGTTCATGCCCCCTCCCCCCGATTTTGATGTTTAATCAGTTAAGATCATTCAGTGCAAATATTTCAACATCAATCCTGTTCCATATGTCCATTTGCCATCAAACAGGAATTTAAAACATGACAAAGATGCAATTTCTCCACAATGTTTTCGTTGCAAGGTTTATTTCCCTCAGATTGCCTCTCCTGATTTTACAAAGCCCACCTATTCATATCATTATTTACTTCATTGTTTTCTCAACCTTGGCAGCTTCAAGATGGATGGACTTCAACTCCTAGAATTTGAAGTCCGCCCATCTTGAAGCTAACAAAGTTGAGATACACTGATTTACTATATTTTATGTGAATGATTAGAACAAAATCTCTAAAACAACTTTCCTGAAGTGGCACTCTCCAGATGTATTATTACAAGGTCAGAAATCTAGGCCAGCATGATCTTTGATCTTACTGTCTAAGACAGTTTAACCATGGCAATCTAAGATGTTTGGGCTTCAACTGAGCCAAGAATTGCTAAGGTTGAGAAACCTGTTCTAGGGATTCTGGAACTTGCAGCCATCTGGCAGACACCAGGATGGGGCATACTATTTTACAGGGAAGGAAACATCCTTACTTCCAGAAAGGTCAACTTTTCTAACTGGATGGCATAGGTAGCATGTTTTTTCTTTCCAAGAAAAGCTTAGTAGAGTATTAGACTTTGGCCTGCTGAAGTGTATGCATGCTTTCTTTAGTAGTATCCTTAACATAATCTTTAGAATAGTTATTGAGCAAGTTACGATAAGCAAAGAAGTCTTTAAAACATACTTCTAATTGATGATAGGCTCTCAAGTTTATATACCAATCCTAGTCTATGGTCTGTTAATGATGCACACTGAATATATAATCACTGATAACAAACTAAGATGATTTTAATTATAAGCTTTTGCAAAATAAAAAAGTAATCAGCTAATGAAGCACTCTTCTGCTGAAGTGGATGATTGACCCTTTCACATTCTAGCAACGCACAGGCTGCCAGAATATCCTCTCCTTTGAAAAAACTGCAGTTGCGGAAAGAAGATGCTGCAGTATTTTGTTCAGTAATTGCTAATGATGTTATTATTCCTGACATGCTTTCATTTGACTGTGCATACAATCAGAAGGCAAGCGTGATGGGGATGCTGCCTTTCTTTTTGGCCACTGCAGACTTCAGGGAAGGGGGATCTACATAAAGAACAGCTTTCACGGAACGCCCCATGCATGACCTTCAGAAGCAAGCTGCAACCATTTTAATGGGCTTCCTTCCATAGTAACAGTGCGAAGGATTGAGGCCATGGTTGAATTCTGCTTGGAATCAGCAAAGCTTGTCAGTCACCTGCGCTTTGCTGACATCCACACTAGGTTGGCCGCCACAAGGTGTGATGTATAGAGATGAGTTTAATAAACGTTGATCAGATCCAATGGATGCAAAGTGCCACTGCATAATTATACAGGTGCGGATGGAGTAGTTAAGGGATCAAAACATAACAGTTGGCTTACATAAAAATACTTATATGAAGAACCCCTTTCCAAACACTTCCATTTCCCCTTTCGTATGATTGTTTGCATATTTTGTAATAACATACAGTACTGTCTCTGGTAGCCTAATACATTAAACCAGTGGTCCCCAACCTTTCCAGCTCTGCAGACCAGCAATGGCAGAGGGGGTGGCGGTGGTGGGAGAAGAGGGGATGATTTTGCACACTCGCTTGCTGCTTGCAGGGTCCCGATCCCCAGAGAGCCATGACGTAGTATCTGATTGTGGCCTGGGAGCTTGGGACTCCTGCATTAAACCATAAACCAAACATCTGCCGTTTTTGCCCGTGTAACTAGTTTGTGATTCAGGGCATTGTATGAACAAGGAACACTACTGAAAAAAACCGTACACGTGGGTTAAGCCAATACAACCACTTTTTCTGCTGACTGCCGATTGCCTGAAGTTTGGCAGTTCAATTTTTTTTTTTTGCTTTAATTTATATGCCGCCCTTCTCCGGAGACACAGGGCGGCTTACAATGCGTTAAGCAATAGCCTTCATACTTTTGTATATTTATACAGAGTCAGCTTGTTGCCCCCACAATCTGGGTCCTCATTTCACCTACCTTTGAAAGGATGGAAGGCTGAGTCAACCTTGAGCCTGGTGACATTTGAACTTGCAGTAATTGCAGGCAGCTGGTCTTAATAACCAGCTTAATAACAGGGTGCCTTAGACCACTGTGCTACAGGCTCTTTGTAGTCACCAGCTCAAGGTTGACTCAGCCTTCCATCCATCCAAGCTGGGTAAAATGAGGACCCAGATTGTTAGGGGCAATATGTCAACTCTGTAAAACTGCTTAGAGAGGGCTATAAAAGCACTGTGAAGCAGTGTATAAGTCTCAGTGCTATTGCTATAACTAGTTGTGAGGGCTAGCGGATCTCTTGGAGGAGTGAAGCAAATGGGAAGTAGCCAACTTGTCAGAATAACACTGAAATAATGTAACTTGTAGCATAAAGTAACTTTCCATGCTTCACTTCAAGAATTGTTTGAATAAACTTCTAACCATGGAGTCAGAGGATTCCAAGTACAGGAGAAACTCCTGTCTTGCATACCCAACAAATATTGTTTGAAAAATTGAGCATATTTTATGCAAGTTTTCCGCTATTAATATTTACTAAGTTCTTAACAAAAGTGATGCCCCCTTCCCAAGTCATCTTCTGGATATGCCAAAGAAGTATTGGAAACTACGTAGTGCAGATCTATCAACTGCTTTCCTAGAATTAGGAAGCATCTCCAAAGCTTTTCGTGATTTATTACATTTATATGCCACCCTTCTTACCGTTTGAGGCAACTCTGGATGGCTTATCCTGTGGACTTAAGTAGATATTAAACAGCATAGGGGAATTTGAAATTCCGTGCAATATCATGGGTTTTTTACCAAGGTGCCAAACTTCAGCACCATAGAATGGAGGATATAACCCAACAGAAAGGATCAGAATCATTGCAGAAATCCCCCATCGCATGATTGGTGACAATGGAAGCCATCGAGTCCCAAAGGAACAAAAAATTATCCCCCTTTCCATTCTCTATTTAGTTTCTGGTACAGGTGACAAATCAAGGCTCAAGGTTGACTCAGCCTTCCATCCTTTCTAAGGTAGGTAAATTGAGGACCCAGTTTGTGGGGGCAATAAACTGACTTTGTATAAATATACAAAAGTATGAAGGCTATTGCTTAACGCACTGTAAGCCGCCCTGAGTCTCCGGAGAAGGGCGGCATATAAATCAAATAATAATAAAATAATAATAATCAAGACATTTCAATCCTACAATTTTTTTTTTTTTAAAAAAGCTGAGATGAGTTCTACATGCATCTTTCATGTCATCACTTTCTAAAATCACAATGTGCAAAAACTGTGTATCTGAGATTGTCTTATGATTCTCCCGCTCTTCCGGGAAAGGTTTTTTCCTTTCCTAGAGTGACATAAGTAGTTTTAGATAGAAGCATTAATTTATTGTTTTTCTCTAAGGTTCCACTCCTTCAGGACAATATAATCAGGCCGTGAGACATGCATAGCGGAAGCAGGTAGAATGCTTCTTCTTTACATCCTTTGTAGTTTGGATTAAAGGAATCCCAAAATAATAACAACCGTTTTCAAGGTCAGTTAATAATAACTTGCCCCAACATTGCAAAGTTCTGTGTTGTCGTGATGAAGGTAATGGGGAAGGAACAACCTTAATGTTTCAATGACTTTCTTGATTAGGCTGCAAAGGGGTAACTTCCTTTAATCAAGTTGGAATTTCCTACCAGAATTCCTACAATGTTGTCAAGTCTCGCTTCTAATACAAGACAGGATTGAATAAAAGAAGAGTTGGGTATGAAAAAAAACCACACAAGAGGACTTTATTTTATTGACATTGCAGAATCTAGTTGCTTCTTATGCAGAATGTAGATGCTCTTCACAACCTGGCTATTTTTGAATAGATACCCCTTGACTTCCTATATTCCACGCTTCAGACATTTTTGAGACACTTGTAGAGAGTATGAAATTGGAAATCTATATAGGGATAGAGTGGGAGAGGCACTCTGGAGGTGATGGGATGACTAAGGACCTTTTCCATATCTAGGACTAATACAAAAACAACTCTTAGTCCCGCTAAGCATTAAAAAGTTAGAGGAATACAGTGAGATTCCATAAATTTTCCATGAAAATCTGAGGCCTGGGAACCTGACTGTCTCAAAATTAAAAAGGCAAACATAAATGCATGAGCATATTCAGTATGAGATCAGAACTTTGCCAAATTATCAGCAATATTCAGGTGTGGTGGAGAAATTGTGCACTTGCTTTTACACACGCAAATCAGCTTTTCTCAGTCAAAATCTTTTTTATTAATAAAAAGAGGAAGGATGAGACAGAAAGACAATTCAGAGACAACACAATTTTGTACCTGTTGGACATAAAGAGAGACCAAGGTTGTTCCTTCTTGAAAATGAAAATAAAAAGTTGATTAAAGAAAAATAGCAGGAGGGAAGGGATGAGGTGTTCCTTTAAAAATAGAATTCTTAAGTGTCGAGGAAAGGGAAGAAAGCAAAGAGAAACAGCATTTTAAAAATTCTTCAGTAAATAAAACCAACTTTTTGTCTCTGCACATGCTTCTTCTGAGAGATCTCTTCAGACAGATCGTTTCACTTAATGATACAAGTTGTATCCTTCTATCAAGCCCGTATCCAGGTCACTTGAAGCACACAGTTTCTTAGCTTTAAAAGTCATCAGTAAAAATAGTTATAAATTAAATTCAATCTCTGACATTTGGTTTTGTTGTTTAAAAAATATAAATGAATAATTCCTTTCTAATTAATGTACTTCCATTCTTCAGGTTGAATTACAAAGCCACTGCAGAGAGGAGGAAAAAAAAAGACAAAATTAGGAAAAGCACTGTGGTGGGGAGGTAAGAGAAAATAAGTGGTATTCCTGAAATTCTTTAAAACCCTTAATTGCTCTACTTTAGATTCTGGCAATCATTTTGCCCTAAAATGAAAGTTTCTTCTCAAAAGGAAGGTAGTTAAAAAAAGTGTTTCAAACAGATTTGGATATTCAGCAAATCCAGAAAAGTAGATTTCTCTTTTTCATCTCTGATTGAAGTTATCTAAAATGGAAAGTACCAGAAAACCTTAAAAAACAACAACGCTAAAAGTAGCAGAGGCAGAACTTGATGAAATCAGTAGGGTATCAAGTTCAAAGCTATGGTGATCTGAAGTACAGAAAATTTATGTAATGCAACATACAACAGCCCAATGCCCTCCATGTATGGGAACAGAGTTGGGCATTATGGGGCATTTGAAGTCAAAAATATCTGGAGGTCATCTGACTGGGAAGAGATCTAATTTATAAATATCTAATGTAAACAGGATTCTCTGCAATGCTAAGACACTGATTAAATTAATTAAAACTCTACTATATTACAATCATACATTAGTAAACATAACTAATAAAGACAAGGTAAAACTGAGATCAGTTTCAGCTCAACTCCTGATAATTATAGCTATGCAGATTTCCTGACAACATCACAGGAGTATTTGCCACTGCTTTCTTTTCCTTTCAATCAAGATGGTTTCACATACATGGTACATGCTATTCTTTGGGGAATGAAAAAGAAAGTTAGCAACTGCCTTCTTTTGGACTTTTACTGTCTGGTTTCTAGTCTGGATGACTGCCCAGTTTGGCCAACCCAAACCATCTAAAGCCCTCCAAAACATCTTAAATACAACAGTCACACTATGCAGGGCAGACAGGCAGAATATTAGCTGAGTACATCCATTAACACCAACTAGCAGTCAAAAGACACAATGAAAACTTCTTAATATCACAAAACATGGACAGACTCAACCATAGTTTCAACTGGGAGACTGTGAGCATCCTAGGCCTAGTCAAGTTAAAAAATGCTAGAGAATTATTGGAAGCCTGGCACTCAGACAAATCAACCATGAACTGTCACATGGAAATAAATCTTATTTACACACCATTCAAAGGAGACAATAAAAAACCCTAAGAAAAATATAAGAACGCATATACACTCCACAGCAGCCAATGACCAGATAAGCAGGGATTAAACACTGGGTAAACAATCAAGCAGGAAACAATACCCTTAATCAAGGAACTATCAAGGAGAAAACCACACCCCCCACTAAAACTGGCAGAATAAGGTACTGTATATTAATAGGGAGCAAACTCCACATTCACTGGCACTGATGTAATCTACTTGGATACTGAAATGTTTGCAAGCAAACAACCAAGCCCAAAGAGTAGCAAGAACTCCACAATTCAACCCTGAGCCACAGTTACTCTCTATTATTGTAATTGCCATGGGATTTCCATGATTTCTCATCAAAATATTAACCTAGCCCAATCTTGCTTAATTTTGAAGGTATACCTCCAGGAGATGGACCCCAATCCCTTTGTTTCTCTCCCTTGATTGTGTCCACAAATTTTAGTTATGCAGTTCCTTGATACTTATAGGTGGGAAACAACAGAAAACATTCTATTTTAGGACATGTGTATGTCCTAAATAGGTTGATTCATTTCAAACATATTTGCCACAAAATAAAAATCCTGACCTCATCTTACTTTTTATCTTTGCTCCTTTCACTGCATCCATAGCCCTTTCACCATATATTAAATGCATTCCCACATCTCACAAGGACTAAAGGTCATATGATCAGTGTTCCAATATCTAAGGGGCTGCCACAAAGAAGAGTGGGTCAGCCTATTTTCCAAAGCACTTGAAGGCAGGACAAGAAGCAATGGATGGAAACTAATCAAGGAGAGAAGCAAACTAGAACTAAGGAGAAATTTCCTGACAGTTTGAACGACTTGCCTCCTGAAGTTGTGGGTGCTCCAGCATTGGAAGTTTTTTAAAAAGAAATTGGACAACCATTTGTCTATAGGGTTACAGGTATAGGGTTTCTTGCTTGAGCAGGGAGTTGGACTAGAAGACTTCCAAGATTCCTTCCAACTCCGTTATTCTGTTATCTGACTTTATTACAATTTGAAAAATTATTCTGCAAGAGTCTTATTTCTATTTGTTCTCGTCTAAGCACTGAAAATCATTGATAAATTCTAGAAGAAAAAAAAGTTCTTTCCCATTCACCCACTTTGAACTCAGTTTCACCTAATTGCTTTTCTATGTCTAATAATCTCCTGACATACCTACAGATCCTCTTGTTCCAACTGAGCACAGGAAAGGATCAAGGATGATGGCAATAGATTAAGGAGTGCTCATCTAACATATAATTTTCAGGGATGGCTCAGCATACTTACATGTTCATGCCTCTTGAGGGTTATCCGTTTTCTGAAAGAATCACAAAGTAAATGACTTCAATTTGTTCTTTTCACACATAATACAGAGATAATAATGTGCTAAGAAATGCAGACTGTGTTGCGGTAAAAAACACCCAGAGACTCCTCAATTCTTCAATGGAAAAGAGCTCAGTTTCAAAAGCACAGTTTGGCTTTCATTTGTGTTGAAGAAAGATACATTTCTGGGGTAAGATTAGACTATATTTTGAGTAAATATGTTCTGAGGATTCTGGAGAATAGGTAAAAGCTAAGCAAAGCAAGCTGAACAAGAGTAATTTGCCCTATTATTATTTTTTGCTTTAATTTATATGCCGCCCTTCTCCGGAGACTCAGGGCGGCTTACAATGCGTTAAGCAATAGCCCTCATACTTTTCTATATTTATACAAAGTCAGCTTATTGCCCCCACAAACTGGGTCCTCATTTCATCTACCTTTGAAAGGATGGAAGGCTGAGTCAACCTTCAGCCTGTTGAGATTTGAACTTGCAGTAATTGAAAGCAGATGTTAATAACAGTGCTTTAGTCCACTGTACTATAGGCCAGTGATGGCTAACCTTTTTGCCATCACATGCCAGAATTGGGGGGAGTGTGGGGGGTCGTGGGTGCGCGTGCCCACATCCATAATTCAATATGCCCCACCCTCCTGCGCATGCGCAGATGACCCCCCCACTTCCCCCTGTTTTTGGCACGCAATGGCACGGTGGGCCCAGTAGGCCTGTTTTTTCCCCTCCCCAGGCTCCAGAGGCTTTCTAGGAGCCTGGGGAGGGCAAAAACGGCCTTCCCCATCCCCCCCCGGAGGCTGGAAACAGCCAGTTTCCCGACTTCAGGTGGAACCGGAAGGCCTGAAAATCAGTTGGCTGGTGCACGCATGCGCGCTGGAGCTGAGCTAGGGCAACACTTGCGTGCCCACCAATATGGCTCCACGTGCTACCTGTGGCACCCGTGCCATAGGTTCACCATCACGGCTATAGGCTCTTGCATGAATAGACATGCACGCATGTCTATTTAACATGTATTCAAAAGAACAGATGGAATATTTCATACTAAAGAATCCTTGGCCTCTAAAATAACAAAAGCAACAAAATCTGTCACTTCCTTTCTGATTTGGTTTAATCCCTTCCAATACTTAACTCTAGAAGAAGCAAGCCTTTTAGATTATATTAAAAGAGTTATTTATGACCTTGTCTGTATTTCCAAATGAGGGATGTTTTTCAGTACCCCACCTCTGATATACTACCCAATCTACTACTTAGGCTAAAGCACCTCTTCCCTCAAAAGAATCTCCTAAAAACACTGCTTTTGTGCAGAACTGCATAAGAAAATTACTCTTCCATTTAATAATTTTCCTTTTCCATCACATTAGTAACGATCAACTTAGGGAATTTACTGGGGGCCATGTGTGGCCTCAAATTGTACACCTGTGCTCTGAAAACAGTTTTGGAGCATAAAAAAAAAATAATGTCATGAGTCTAAGGGTAGCTGTATATACTCCCTGAACTAAATATATGCCTGAGTCATATAAATACAGAACAATTGCTCAAAGTCATTCAATATGTACCTGTTCAGGACTGTAACAAAACCAATTAATGGTGGGGTGATTTGCCCTCTGCACACTCAATCCTATACTGGTTGATAAGAAGAGTTTAATTTGTACCAGATACATATATCATACAAAACAGTTCAAAAAGAGTCCCAAAGATGCTTTTTCAAGAGGGAACTGGACTTTCTGGTTTTTCTTTGAAAACATTTCTCAGGAAACCATGTGCAGATCTGTACATTGGGGAAATGAAACAACCACTTCATAAACGCATGGTACAACATAGAAGAATAAACCAATCAGGACAAGATTCAGCAATCCATCTGCATTTAAGACACTTTTATAGACAGCAAAGTTTGCATTTTGGACAGAGGACCACTGGTTTGGAAGATGGCCTCAAAGAGGCCATCTATGCAGTGGTGAAATTCAAATTTTTTTTACTACCAATTATGTGGGCATGGCTTGGTGGGTGTGGATACTGCAAAATCTCCATTTCCATCCCACTCCAGGGGAAGAACACTGCAAAATCCCCTTTCCTATCCCACTCCTGAGGGAAGGATATTGCAAAATCTCCATTCCCACCCCACTCTGGGGCCAGCCAGAGGTGGTATTTGCCGGTTCTCCGAACTACTCAAAATTTCTGCTACTGGTTCCCCAGAACCTGTCAGAACCTGCTGGATTTCACCCCTTCATCTATGTCAAAACTGAACATCTCTCTCTCATCAGAGGGGAAGGGATACGACATCATCTGTTTCAGTGGTGAAATCCAATTTTTTTTACTACCGGTTCTGTGGTTGTGGCTTGGTGGGCGTGGCAAGGGAATGATACTGCAAAATCCCCATTCCCTCCCCACTCTTGGGGGAATGATATTGCAAAATCTCCATTCTACCCCACTCTGGGGCCAGCCAGAGATGGTATTTGCCGGTTCTCTGAACTGCTCAAAATTTCCACTACCGGTTCTCCAGAACCTGTCAGAACCTGCTGGATTTCACCCCTGATCTGTCTCTAGTCTACAACACAGTCCCTTCAACAGTTCCAAGAAGGCTCCACACCCATTTTGTTCCATTCAGGTGATCCTGAGGATATAGATAAACCTCCAAGTGGCCTCAATGACTCTCTATAAGAATGCAAATGACCAGCTGTCTGCAAGGAATATACCGTAAATCCTTCTATTCCCCACCATCCAGTCAGAGCTGAAGAAGCTTTTTGGATGAGAAACAGAAATGTCTTCAAAGAAAATCCAGAAAATCTAGTTGCCTCTTGAAAAAGAAGCTTTGGGACAACTATGACCTGGATGACTGAGAATCTTCATAGACAGTTCAAAATAAGAATATTCTTTCCTACCTTCTTTTTCTTTTTTTTCTTCTGTGACCCATCTGCATCAAGTTTCTCCACATTTTTGTTCTTCTTTTTCTCTGTAAGACATTTAAGAGTACAGGGTAAACAATTCAGATTGCATCTTAAAAAAAAAATTCTGGGGCCACATAAAAGCACATTCCCAGCTTTGAATGATTTTAAGTGCAGGACCATTAGTACCAAATTCCCCAAGATACTTTATTTCTTGGATTCCAACGCCATTTAAGGAAATGATTACTACAACATGTCAAGAACCTGCATATTGTGAATGAGTGCCAAAGTTGTGCTAGGAAAATCTAGTGCTAAATCAGTTGTTTTTCTACAAACATCCAGATTTGCACCAGAATCCCCTATTTATTGCAACTGGATTTTTTTTTGGGGGGGGGGAGCTAAAATTAAATGCAAAGATATCTTGATTTGAACAAACCCGCATTTAGCAGATTTCAAGAGCAATGGATCAATTTACCATCCAAAGATCCTTCCCCTGCCCCAATAAGGGATAAATGCATTGCAAATGAATATTCCAGATGAGGCAGTTAAATTAATTTTCCTTCATTTAATCATTACAGAGCAATTTATAACATTTGCCTATAAACTGCCTCAGTAATGTACTTCAAAACCCTCGCCTCAAATGGACCATTAAAATGAGGTTTCTCTGTGTTGTTGCTAATTTAATCCAGGCATGAGGCCTCAGGTATTTATTTTCTCACTAACTAGGATAGCAAGAGGTGGTAGAATAAGGAAGTCCTCTGAAGGCAAGAAAATTAAGCCAGGATTAGGCAATTGAAATCAGCCCACGAAGAACTTTTAATATAGGTAGTCCTCAATTTACAACAGTTCGCTTAATGACTGTTCGAAGTTATGATACTGAAAAAAAGTGACCAGTTTTCATACTTATGCTGTGTTGCAGCATCCTCATGGTCACGTGATTTTACATTTGGATGCTTGACAAATGATTCACATTTATAACGGGTGAAGTGTCCCGGGGTCATCTGATCACCTTTTGCGACCTTCTGACAAGCAAAGCCAATGGGGAAGCCAGGTTCACTTTACAACCATGTTACTAATTTAACAACTGCAGTTATTCACTTAACAACTGTGGCAAGACAAGTCGTAAAATGAGGCAAATCTCTCTCAACAAATTTCTCACTGAACAACATACATTTTGGGCTCCATTGTGGTCGTAAGTTGAGGACTACCCGGAGTTGCTTGCTGGCAGGGACAAGCACTGGGCAGTTTATTTTTATGCTCGTCACCCCGTTTCATTTCACACTGCAAACTTTCAATTCAGGCATATTTGGAATGTTAACAGCATGCCTGGGATAATGTCACAAGAATAGCTACTCTGGGGAATCAGGGTTATAAAATAGCCATTTACTAGGAGCCTAATTGGTGTTAATGCTCCTTATCATTCCCTTTTGTCACTACGATGCCATTATCACCACCCTCCAACACACCTTCTCTTTTTTCCCTGAACAGATGGGCACATTTGTAAATTTATCTGCAGCCATGTGCTGTTATTTTTTTATGAATTCCTAGGAGGATAATTCCCAAGTCTTTCTTGGGCACAAAGATAACTCTTAAGCTTGGCTTGTACCATGTTAGTGTTCAAGCTTCACATACATGGCACCACACAGAAAATCCCAATAATAACCTACACCATCATTTGTTCAACTTTGAACTTGGCTAACAGTCGTTAAAACCCATACACAACACCACGCTAAAGCGTATCCAGAGTGACACCAAATCTGCTTCACTATCTGGACCCATAAACAAGACTAATGCAGAGCATACAACAGCTGACCATTTCCAGCTTCTTTCTAGGAGAGAAGATTGCTCCATCTATGGAAATAAGATGGTATTCCTCTGAAAATTTAATGTTTTCAGTATTTATAATCTGATTTAACAGTGTATTTGTAGTTGAGTTCATTATGTATTATACACTCATTCTGGAGTGGCTTCAAATAGAAGAGATGGTATGATTTCCTGAAACCCTGAATAAAAATCCTAATTCACCTGAACTGTGATCCTCTGAATATGTTGAACCTAGCTCCCTAAAGTCCTTTGCCAGCGTGGTCAAAGGCAGGTTGCTATGATTGCCATAAAACGTACTCCTTTCTCCTCTCTGAGTGATAGTGAGAGTTTTTATAAATCATGTTACAGACAATGAAAGATGAAAGCCTCCAAAAGCAAGATAGAATTATAGAGACAGTGCTAGGGGAGTAAAAACAAGGGACTCTGAAGAGCAAAAGAACATTATTAACTCATGATTAGGTTCCCACTTCTACACTTTTACTGTTACGATCAGTGAATTTTTCTGGAGAATTCACTGATAGAAGAAAGGAAGACTGTTGATTTAGACTAGAGTCTCCTTGAAAAACATAGTAATGTTAGTTTGGACAAAGAATCTCGTATCAGCTATTAAGTGTGGCGATAACAATGTCATGTGTTGGCAAATGTTTTTCTGTGTCAGGACCTGGATGATCTGCCATCATTAGCTGAAGCTGAAATTCATAAATCAAAGCAATGATCTCAAAGGTACAAACTTACAAGGAAGTTTACAACAAAATGGATGAAGGAGGGCAAATTCAATATTTTGGAATGGTCAAGGCAAACTCCAGCTCTAAACCCCATGGAAATGTTGTGTAGGATTATGGAAAGAGCAATATGCTATGGATGAATAGGCCAGAATTCTTACACAACGTTAAAGACACACTGCCAACTACAAAAAGAGTAAAATAGTTACTGAATCTAAGGTATTTGTATCAATTATTTGTATGTTCGGCTATTTTGTTTCTGAAGTATAGTGAATGAAATCTGTCATTTACGTCAAACATCATCACTATTTCTGCACTTGGTCTTTTTATATGTTTATGCCGATATAAGTACAATCTCCCTGTTTATTCAGATTCACATGAGACCCTGGCAAAAATAGGATAAAAACCAGGAAATCTAAAAGAGGACAAATACGTACACAGAACAGAATATCCGGGTGGTTACATGACAAATAATTTCCACCCCATTTTTTTTACGTGTACTTTTCTATAGCATGACCGCCTATTCTTGTATACATTAGTGAAGTGAAGCAGAGTATGGAAATAAATGGGGTTTTTCCCCCCCAGTAAAGAGGATAACTTATATCAAGATCAGTAAAATTTCAAGATCGGTAAAATCCGAGTCTCCATACAAGAGCCTCTTTCCTTCTTGTTCTCCCTTTCCTAGAGCAAGCCTGCGACCATTTCTGTTTGAGAATCCGGCAGGCAACTCAAATGCCTCAGCAGGAACTACTGAATTGGCTGGAGCTGCTCTTTGAATAGCAAGATTAATAGTGTCCCAGCAACTTCCTCTCAGTGTTTACAGCGGCTCTCTAAATGCAGCCTTCTTAAGATCGGCTCATTTGCACTAATATTCATGATTTATTCAGGTACTGCTGAATATGACCACTCAGCAGCCTTTGTAGCTGAAGCACCCTTTTCGGCTCTATCTGTGAAAACTGTGAGCATATGCCTGAGCTGGGAAAGTTGCTTCCATTTCAGTTTTAAAGCCATGAGGCAAAGGAAGCCATTTCCTAAAACGTATCCGAGCTAGGCTCTTCAGCCTCCTCCATCTGTTCCCACCAGAAAATCAGAAAGGAATCATGGGTAATCATGTATCAAAACAGGTTAAATACAGGAGTGTTGTATTTTGCACCCAGGCCAGCATGTGCTTTTCTTCTACAGTACAGCAAAGGGCTACTGTACCTCCACTTCGGAAGGTAGAAGTGTTTTACCAAAAGCACTGCTCCAGCTGGGAACACTGAGGGACATTTTATTTCAGGGCTGGTGAACAAATCCAAAACCAAAGGACTGTTAGTTTTGGATGGTGCCAGAGGAAAACTGATCTGGTGGGCTAATTCACATGGGGATAAAATAAAGGAACTGGTTAAACTTGTTTTTAACTTTGGTTCTGTGTTGATTTAAATTCTTGTTCTACTAAAAAAACAACCCCCAAAATAGGAGAGCCAATTTGGTGTAGTGGTAAGGCACCAGGCTGGAAACCAGGCAAATTCTAACTCTGTTTTAGTCACAAAGCCAATTGGGTGACCTTGGGCCAGTCACTTTCTCTCAGTCCTAGGAAGCTGACAATGGTAATCCACTTCTGGGAAACCTTGGCAAGAACACTGTAGGGACTAGGCCAGGGGTGTCAAACTCGATTTCACTGAGGGCTGCATCAGGGTTGTGTTTGATCTCAGGGGGCCGGGTTATGGTCGGAGGGGTGGCCAGCTCGACGTCACTTGTCGAGGCTCTGTTTTCGACCGTGATGGCCTCCTGCAGCGCTCTGCCAGCAAAAACGGAGCACATGATCTCCCTGGGCCTCCGTTTTCACTGGCAGAGGGCTGCAGGAGGCCATTGTGGCCATTAACAGAACCCGGTGGGCCTTGTACAACCTCCCTGAGCTCCATTTTCGCTGCAGAGGCACCGCAGGCCGGTCCTTCGCTGTTTCCACGGAGGCCTCGCGGGCCAGATCTAAGCACCCTGTGGGCTGTATCCTGCCCCAGGGCCTTGAGTTTGACACCCCTGGACTAGGCCAACTAGTGAATTGACTTGAAGACACCTGCTCACACAAAAGTGCCTATGATAAAAATAAGGGACATTACAGAGCAAACACAAAGTAGGTAAATCTAACATCACATTTTAAGGAAAACTATTAAGTTGGTGCATCCAAATGTTCTGGACCAACCCTGGACAGACGAACAATAAAGGAAGGTGATCCCGAGGATCACAGTGGGATCAGATAATTGGGAATCAGTTCAGATGATCACTTGAATATGAGCCAGCAGTGTGCAGCAGCAGCCAAAAAAGTTAATACAATCCTGGGTTGTATAAACAGAGGCACAGAATCAACATGTGAAGTATTAGTGCCGCTGTACAAAACCCTAGTAAGATCACACCTGGAATACTGCAACCAATTTTGGTCACCATTCAGAAAAAAGATGTTGACACTTTGGAAAAAGTTCAGAAAGAGCAATTAAGATGATCAAAGACCTGGAGACTAAACCATATGAAGAATGGCTGCAGGTTTTGGGTCTGTCTAAAGAAAAGAATTAGGGGTGACATGAGAGCAGTATTCCAGTATTTGAGGGGCTGCCACAAAGAGGAGGGGGTCAAATTATTCTCCAAAGCACCAGAGGGCAGGACAAGAAACAATGGTTGGAAACTAATCAGAGAGAGAAGCAATCTGGAATTAAGGAGAAACTTCCTAACAGTGAGGACAATTAACCAGTAGAACAGCTTGCTGTCAGAAATCATGGGTGCTCCATCACTGGAGGTTTTTAAGAAGAGACTAGACAGTTGCTTGTCTGAAATTTTTTTTTTTTTTTAGATTTATATGCCGCCCTTCTCCAGAGACTCAGGGCGGCTTACAATGCGCTAAGCAATAGCCTTCATTCTTTTGTATATTTATACAAAGTCAGCTTATTGCCCCCACAACTGGGTCCTCAATTTACCTACCTTAGAAAGGATGGAAGGCTGAGTCAACCTTGAGCCTTGGCAAGATTCGAACCTGCAGTAATTGCAGGCAGCTGGTCTTAATAACCAGCTTAATAACAGGGTGCCTTAGACCACTGTACTACCAAGGCTCTTGGAAGGAAATGATATAGATTCTCCTGCTTGGGCAGAGGGCTGGACTAGAAGACCTCCAAGTCCCTTCCAGCTCCTATTCTATTCTATTCTGTTCTGTTCTGTTCGATTCTGGGGGCTCAAAAAGGACTGGGAGCATCATAGAAAAGGGGAAGTAGTTAAAGCAGAACAAGCCCATACAAGAGGAAGGAAGAAGCTGAAAAAAAAAAACAGGAAGCAGAAGAATGTTAAAGAACAGACCTAAATATATCTTCTGAAAAGCCTTCTTGCCTACCCTTTTCACTTAATTGCTTTTCTTTAGACTGGAATCAAGAGGTATGTTGGGATAGTTTCTTTACACAGGTATAAGGAGGGGGGGGACCATCAGAGTGCTAAGCTTGCATATACTGAATAAACCTTTCTCCAGTATTACTCCCTTTACCAACACAAATGAATTGGTAAAGCATTGGTAACAACTGCTTATTGGTAAGCAATACCTCTTTACCACATGGGGGCAGCAGAATGCATTAGATCCGTGATGGCGAACCCTTGGCATGCGTGCCACAGGTGGCACGCGGAGCCATATTAGTGGGCATGCCAGCTCAGCTCTGGGGCGCTTGCGCACACCGGCCAGTTGATTTTCGGGCCTTCTGGGCCCACCAGAAGTAGGGAAACAGGCTGTTTCCTGCCTCTGGAGGGCCTGGGGCAGGGTGGGGAAGGCCCGTTTTTCTTTCTTACCTGGCTCCAGATCCTCTCTGTGTATCTGGGAAGGGCGAAAACAGCCTTTCCCACTCCCTTGGAGGCCCTACGGCGGCTGAAAGGTTCCATTTCCCGACTCCCGGTGGGACAGGAAGTGACGTTTTTTCCTGTCCCCAGCCTCCAAAGACTCCTAGAGAGGTTCTGGAGGCTGGGGATAGGAAAAAATGTCAATTCCTGTCCCACCGAGAGTTGGGAAATGGGCCCTTTCAGCCTCTGTAGGGCCTCCAAGGGAGTGGGAAAGGCTGTTTTCGCCCTTCCCAGATACACATCTGGAACCAGGTAAGAAAGAAAAACAGGCCTACCAGGCCATCATGTGCCAGGAGCGGGGGGGGAGGGGGGTGCGCATGCATGCGCGTGGGCACGTGCGCGCGCGACCCTCCCCCGCCCCCCCTCTCCTGGCACGCGATGGCAAAAAGGTTAGCCATCACTGCATTAGATAATGAGAAAAAAAAAAAAAGGGACCAGGAACATTAGCACCCAGCTTTGATATGCCCACATGGAATAGGGATGGAGTTTTTACTTTTATCAGACTTCTTTTCTTTGCTGTCTTTTTTCTTTGTTGATTTGATGCTGTCTGAAGCCTTGGATTTCTTTTTCTTCTTTTTTAGCTTTAACTCTTCCGCGCTCTGCATTTTACGCTTCTTGCCCTTTGAAGGGCCAGTGTCCCCATCTGCCAGTTTCCGTTTCTTGGATGGTTTTTCTTTCTTTCCATTTTTCGATGTCTTGGCCTTTGCCACGGGGCTAGCCTGGGCATTTTCTGGGGTTTCTTGTTCCGTGTCCTGCTGTTTGTTCCCAAAGAAAGCTTTGAACGATGGGGTAAGTGATTCTGGCAACTTTGCTGCAGATGTCTCTTGGGCTTGGCCATTGCTCTGAGCCTTTGCTGCAGCTTTCTTTGCTGGGGTCGGCTTGGAGTTGGTGCTCTGCAGCCCTTGTTTCCTTGCCCCCTTTCCCTTAGCAGCTGCTGCTTCCTTTCCAGAAGAAGGCAATGAGATGATCTCTGTAGAAACAAATTTTTACTATTTAGCAACTATTAAGAACCTGATCCCTATAAAGTACTGCTAATTTGTGGGTAAATCATTCCAACTCAGCATCAAAACATGTGATGTAATATGAATAAATGATACTTAAAGAAATGGCATAAGCTATAAAAGTTTTTTGCTTCTCTGTGCTTTGCTGCTTTCTAGGTGCTGACTGAGCGTGCTACAATCCAAGATTTTACTCGGTCATGGCTATATTCCCGTTTCTGCTTGCTCCAGGAAATTCTCAAATACAAGATTCTATCTTCTAGTCGTACAATTATTTTGAATGCCATTTCACTCCACGCTCTTCAGATATGTTTGTCTTAAAATTACTAGGCAATCTGGCCAATGGTTGGGAAGTATGGGATCTGATATTAACTTTTTTTAAAAGAGGAAATTAAATCAAGATTATCTTAAAAAGAAAATTTCTGTAGTGTACCTATGCACATGTTCAAAGTATATCACATGTAAAAGTATATGTTGAGCTTCATGTTCCAAATAATCCTTTTCATTATTAGCTTTTAAGGTGTCACAAGATTCTTTACTGATGATAAGTCAAATGGTCCCAGAACCAACTCAGCATTAATTCAACTGAGAATTCAACTCAGCATTAACATGCTTTCCCAGTGCTGCCAGAAAACCAAAAAGGGACCAAATTCAACAACATTTTTGAACAGCCCCTTGATCTTTGTCTCTTTACACAATATAGATCTTTGGATTGTGAGGGTTTTTTTTTTCAAGCTTTCACAGCCACCTCCATTAAAATAATTTAAGCAGGCAGCAGAAAAGGAAAGAGAAATCTGACATATAAATATGCTACCTATTCTATCTGCCAGCACTCCTGGGACTGATCTGCAAAATCTTATTCTCTTCAGGCCTTCTTTGAGCACACAGCAGAAAAATAGTTTGGCATATTTTGAAGAGTATCTGGTAGATAGCAACCAAAGTCTCTCAGTGAGGCTGTCAGCAGGCCCTTATTTTAATCATTTATCTGAAAGGCAGACTTTTTCCTTTTCGTCAGACATGAATGAAATATACCTGGTGATATGGTCAGCGGAATCAAAATCCTCATTTTAGATACTAGGGTTGTGATGAACCATTTAAAGCTTTTTGTTGAGGCTGGAGTAGCAGGGAAATCTTGAACAACTGTTGGCCATGGTGAGTTGGCTATGGCGAATTTTTATTTATTTATTATTTATTTATTAATTATATTTATATACCGCCCTTCTCCCGAAGGACTCAGGGCGGTGAACAGCCAAGATCAAATACATAAATATAAAAGTTAAAAACAATTTAAAACCAGATTAAATACTTTGGCCCACAATTAAAAACATCCCATTAAAATCCAATTTAAAAATTTAGCAAGCCCAGCTTGCTGGAATAACAAAGTCTTCAGGGCACGGTGGAAGGTGCGCAAGTCTGGGATCCTCCGTACCTCCGGGGGCAGCTCGTTCCAGAGGGCAGGGGCCCCCACTGAGAAGGCTTTCCCCCGGGGGGTTGCCAGTCGACATTGTCTGACCGACAGCACCCCGAGGAGCCCTGCCCTGTGGGAGTGTACTGGCTGGTGGGAGGCTGTCGGTAGCAGAAGGCGGTCCCGTAGATACCCAGGTCCTGAGCCATGGAGCGCTTTAAAGATGTTAATCAGCACCTTGAATCGCACCCGGAAGACCACTGGAAGCCAATGCAGCTCGCGCAAGAGAGGTGTTACATGGGAACTGTAGACCCCCTAAAAAGTGCGTTCCTTTTAGTCTTCTGTAACAAGAAGTTCCTTTAAAGCTAACCTGTTTTCGATGTTTCCTCAGCGTCGCTATCGCTTGAAGAGCTATCAGCTGATGAGGTGCTGTCAGCAGGAGCTGGCTTCCCAGATGACTTTGCTTGAGCAGTGACAGAACCCTGCTTGGAGAGCAGAGGACTTGCTGCCACAGTGGATGCCTGGATCTTGTGAGGACCTGGTAGCCCCGTTAAAAGAGACTAGGAGTGAAGAAAAAAGAAAGAGAGAGAGAAATAATGTATGAACATGTGATTAATAGCAAGGGCAGTCAACAGAGTGATAATCCCAATCTCTTCAATTAGCAAAATTTATCAGTACCTGTTTAGTTCAATACTTTTCACAACTTAGCCCTACATGGTTTAGGCCCAGGGTACTTGCAGGATCATCTCCTGCCATCCTCCCATCGTCCTGTGGGCTCCCACAGAGTGGGCCTCCTCAGGGTGCCGTCAGCCAGACAATGTCAGCTGGCGGCCCCCAGGGGAGGAGCGTTCTCTGTGGGAGTGCCGACCCTCTGGAACGGGTTGCCCACCGAGCTTAGGACAGCCCCTGACCTCCTCTCCTTCTGCCGCGAACTGAGGACGTGGCTCTTTCACCAAATGGGCTGACCCATTGGGGGATTTTTACATTGGAATAATTTTAAGTAATTTTAAATTTGATTTTAATTTTTATGTAATTTTCTAATTTGTTGAATGTCTCTTTGTAAGCCGCCCTGAGTCCTTCGGGAGAAGAGCGGCATATAAATTACATACATACATACATATATACATACATAAATAAACTTCATAGCAGTGCTGACACATGAGAGAAATGGCATGAAACAAAGATCTACCAGAGCTTTTTTTTCATTGCCTTCCAAGTGTGATGTCCATTATTCTGACTGGACATTTTGGAAAGAGTTCCACTCTTGATACTGGATAGGGAAGGCTGTTTTACATGTATTATTTATTAAACAAATTTATCTAGCTCCTCAACTCACACATAGGTGAGTCTTGGAGGCTTACATTTAAAAATGTAAAAGATCTATCATGTAATAAAACCATTTAAAAATCCTACCCCGTCCCCATTGTATGGTAGCAACAATACAATAAGGTTAGCTACTCGATCAGTTCCATTTCCATTTGTAGCCCCGGTTCCACTGACATAGCCACTTTTAGGGCCTTTCGGAAAAGAAACAGGGTGGGGGTTAATATTGTTTCCAAAAGAAGGCGGCACCTGTCAGACCTGCCCCAGTCTGATCTCTTAGGAAAGAAAGACCCTCAACTCTATTTGGTTGAAGTGATAGATTCTTTTACTAAAATATGTTGGTTGCAGTAAAGTCAGGCTAGAACTAAAATTCCTGTGCTCAAAAGATATAGAAAGTTTCCCCCCATGACCAGTATGTCTTCAGACAATAAGAGTCTGCCTAGGTCAGCAGGCCCCAATCTTTGAGACTTGGCAATCTGGCTGGGGAGGGGGGGGAGGGGAACTGGCCTGCCGCTCGTGTAGCCTGGTTTTGAATAGGTCACGGTGCAATATGGGCCGTGGCCTGGTGTTTGGGGACCCCTGGCCTAGGTGTTTTGAGAACGCCGAGATGTTTAGCGTAATTCACATTCTTTCTCAGGGTGCACAGCCTTGTGTGGTGGCACAAACTCTCTCCCAGGTCTTGCATTGAAGGGAGAGTGCCCACACAGAAACGGGAGCATGCAGGAACACCGCCCTCTTCTCCCTCTCTGTTCCCGCTGCTGGGCGATCCCGTGTGAAGAAGGGGGCTAGCAGAGAGGGGGGAGTGCGAGGTTGCTGCTTCTGGGACGAGGGGACCCGGGAAGCATCTGGGTCCAGCTCACCTGGCTTCTCTTCCTCTTGCAGCCAGCTTTCCCAGTCTAGCTTGATGCAGCCTTCCTTCCCAGGCCCCCGTCCATCCTCCACTGCCCCCCCCCAACAGCCAGACAAAGCTAGGCAAAAAGCCAACCCTCACTGGTGCCCAGCTTCACCGACAGCAGGCTTGGAAAGTGCAATGTGAGTTGCGCTGCCGCCTGCGTCAAGCTCAACTGGGAAGGGAGAACGTGAACGAGCACCAAGGAGCCCATGGAGGGGGGAAGCCAGCAAAGGGGCGAGCGAGGGGCGTCCGTCCGCAGCATGCCAGGCTTGGCAGACTTTTTAAGCCTGCCTAAAGCAGGGAGGGAGAAAGAGATCCGATTTAACCTCTGTGTGTGTGTGTGTGTGTGTGAGAGAGAGAAAGAGATTGAATCCAATCTCAGAGAGTTATATCAGGCTGGCGGCAGTGCTCTCTCTCTCTCTCACACACACACGTGCACACACAAAAACAGGTTGGATCTTTCTTTCCTCCTGCCCCCCTCCCACCAGAGACCCCTGGATTCCCTCCCCAACCCTGCCTGTCTCATACAGGCACCACCCACATGAGTGACGTAGAGTTGGCCACGCCCACTCAGTCACATGACACCCCCCCAGCCACTCCCATCCAGTCATTAAGAAGAACAGGTTGTTAAATTATCTGAATCCCACCACTGGTAGTAAAACCTTATTATTCAGGTTAAATTGCCGTGTTGGCACTTTGCGATAAATAAGTGGATTTTGGTTTGCAGTTTGGGCACTTCGTCCCTAAAAGGTTCACCATCATTGCCCTAATTGATGGAACCTGTAACATGTCCTGTCTTCCTGTCCTAGTGGGCAGTCAGTAGTTGCAATAGAGGGGAGTCTAAATTTAGTCAGTTTTCATTCCCATGGGACTCAAGTTCCCCTGTATCATTTCTAAGTGTGCCTCCCCCAATAAGTTACTTGGATACATGTGTTTAGGGGGCGACATTCTGGCTACAAATTGAAGGGACAGGGCTGTCAAACTTAAGTTCTTGACAAAAAAAAAAAAGGCACACAACACAAGGCTCAAGCTGCGCACATACGGCCATGCAAATCCAAATTCCTTCAAAACTTTTGCTTTCTTCCTCTAACGAGCTTGTGTAATGTGTAGGCTAAGCCATGAAAAAATACGTAGGCTGTCAGCACAGTTGTTGAAAAAAGGCAAACGGAGTGGGGAGCTGTTAAATGCTTCAATTTTCTAGAAAAGGAGGGGAAGTATTTATAAGTTGTATGGATTTATAACCTGCAGGATAAATTCGCTTCTCTGTTCATTCCCTTTTAAATATGCATACGGGAGGTTGTTGGCGATTACTACAGTCTCATGCTTGCATGCAAGTCTAATGTGTCACAGATCTACAGTTGGTACCACACATTGCTCATAAAGACAATTTTTATAGCTACGGCATGGCTTAAATTGCAACTGAAAACTGCTGCTGCATGCATAGTACAGCTCCTCCTGTAGCTATTTAATGCTCTCTATTTTTCATTTTCATTAAATCAATCCTGATTGGTACACGTTCAGAAAGCATGCAGCCAACATGTTAACTATGCAGGTTCTGATTTTATAATCCTTTGTTCAGAGGCATATTGTAGGTTCATGGATGGTGCAGACAAGGCACACTTGTTGACTCCCAAGCAGGGGTGAAATGCTCCTGGTTCAGACTGCATCACCCGATCCGGTAGCGATGGAGGCGGGTGGTTCTGAGAACTGGTAGCAAAAATCCCTGCCACTCCCCCATGCCCAGCTGAGTCGCACAATCTTCAGAGGCTTTTTTTTTTACTTTTAAAAGCATTTTTTATACAACCTCTTAGGCCAAAAAATGCTTTTAAAAGAAAAAAAAAAGCCTCTGATGATCGCGCGGCTCAGCTGGGATCCTCAAAGGCTTTTAAAAGAAAAAAACCCTTTTTTTCTTTTAAATGCCTCTGACGATCCCAGCTGAGTTGCCTGATCGGCAGAGGCTTTTTTAAAAAGCCTCTGCCGATCAGGCAACTCAGCTGGGATTGTCAGAGCCTTTTGAAAGCATTTTTTTATGCCAAAGAGGTTGTAGAAAAAATGGTTTTAAAAGTTTAAAAAAAAAAAATTGGCCACGCCCACCCAGTCACATTATCTCCCACCACCAAGCCACGCCCATAGAACCAGTAGTAACAAATTTTAGATTTCACACTACTCCCAAGTGATTTTATGGTGACCGCCTTCTGCCGCATAGCTCCCAGCGACCGGTAAGATCCCACAGAGTTGGTCTCCTCCGGGTCCCGTCAGCTAAACAATGTTGGCTGGTGGGCCCACGGGGGAGGGCCTTCTCTGTGGCTGCCCCAGCTCTCTGGAACCAGTTACCTCCTGAGGTCCGGACCATCCCCACCCTATTGGCCTTCCGAAAAGCGGTGAAGACCTGGCTTTTCCAGCAAGCCTGGGGCCGTTGATCTCGCTCTTGTGATCTGGCGAGATCCGGCTATGAATGGTGTGAATGAGTTTTTAATGTTTTTAATTTTTCAATGTCTTTTTATAATGATTTTTCAAATGTATTGTGAGGCGCCCTGAGTCTTCGGAGAGGAGCGGCATATAAATTTAATTAATTAAATTAAATTTAATTAATTAAAAGACCACCTATCCCTTTTTTATTTACAATACGTTTCTTTATCTTTCATCTTACCATTCTAAGATCTTTCTTAAACTCTATTCTATTGTCTTTAATTAGCTCTGTTTTAATTTCTGTTTTTGTCACCTTTACCAGGTAGACTCTATAGTAACAGAATCTTTAAAGTCTGAATGTGTTTCTCCCTCCATCCCCATGTGAACCAGGGAGAAGCCTGCCTAAGATGCTTTCCCAAGTTATTTTCAGGCCACTTTTATCTGACTGTTGTCTTAGCAGCAGCTCTTCCTCCTGTCCTTCATGGCCGTTCCCCCGTCTTCTACCATTTCTGTCCTATTTTCTACTATTGTTATTATTAAACTATTCTCCTTTAGTTAAGTTCTGATTACCTCCATTCTTATCCCCCTATCTGTAGATCCTAAATATACTTCCCTTACACTATTTTCTTTCATTTAGACTTTTTTCTGTGCATCCTATTCTAGTCTGTCAGTTCTGTCTTAGTACTATTGATATCAGTCCCATCAACCAGCTCTCCATGGATGAGGTCTCTGCTGGTTGGGGCACTGCTATTAGTGTTTCCTACCCTGTTTCCCCCAAAATAAGACATCCCCTAATAATAAGCTCAATTGAGCTTTTGAGTGCATGGCAATAAGGCCAAGCACTTATTTCAGGATTCAGAAAAATATAAGACAGGGTCTTATTTTTTGGGAAACACAGTATTATTAGCACAGGGACAGTGTTTTCTAGGCCTTGTGAGGCTTCAATTTCAGCTTACTTAAACCACGACTTGATATCTCTATGTCTCTCAGCTCTTTCCTTCCCTTCTGGCTGCTCTGGCATTCTTCCTTGCAAGTTGCCCTTTCCTTGATCTTTTTTCACTCTAGGACAGTCCCTGCTCTTGGCTTTGCCGTCACACTTGGCCCTCCATCCATATGTGACCAGTTGCTGCTTTCCCCAGCATCCCCAGTAAGTGCAGTTCTTCAACTTGGTTAAGCTACTTGCCATGTCCCAGTCCTGATCTGATTGCCAGGCCTTTCAGGACTGCTTTCTTCCAGGACTGATGTCTGGCTACTTATTCATATCTGAGGCCTTTCCCAACAACAATACTAGTACAAAATCCTGACTTTCTCCACTGGGCCAGGCTATTCATCTGAATCTCAAGCCCACTCATTGTCCATGTTTGGATTCACCGGCACAACAGATCTTCCAGACAACTCTTTCCTAATGACTACTTCCTCCATCTTCAGGTACCTAGTTTGCTTGCTTTCTCCTTCCCCTCCCTCTCTGTAAGATAAGTCAAAATATCCAATGATGCCAAGTGAACTTGTACCTGAGACCATGAAAAAATACCTGAGAAGCTTCTTGTTCTTCATCACTGGACTCCTCAGATGAGCTCTCTGACTCTTTTTTTGGCTCTTGTTTCTGCTGGGTGGCTGCAAAAAGCAAACAGTGACCTCAGAGTCCTCGAAAAATTAAAAGGTGCTGTGACATAAAGAGTGTGGGAACTGGGAAGATCAAGTCAAATTAAGGTTTATGTTCATTGTCCAGTTACATAATGTGACTCTTAACATATTTAGCTTTGCTTATTATAAAGGCTTCATGAAAGTTCACAAGATGGGAATTGCAGAGGTACATTTATCTTCTGCAATGAAAGAGGTCCTTGCAGCAGTTCTATTCCTATTTCAATCACACTATCATGTCTTTCACGAGAACAATTAGTAACAAATGTCAACAATGGAGAACTGAAATGTTAGTTTGAACCAGACTTGTTGATACTGGTGATTTAAATGTTTGGATATATGAACTGTTGTGGGACTCTATCTGAGGAATTGGTGGGCTTCTTCTGGGTGAGGAATGGCGAGCTAAGACATCTGTGAATGAGCTGAGATGACAACCGCAGCTAAGACCCAAGGATCAATGAGGAGACCGGTCTCATGGAACTTCTCTGGATAAGGAGAGGATAAGAAGATCGCCCACTTGTGCTCCAGATGACTGCTCTTTACAAGAAAATCAAGACAGTGATTTCCCCCAAGTTTGAGGACTGGGAGACAAAGGGAACCATCCTGCTCTCAACTGCAGAGCCTTTTAAAGTGCACTGACCAAGGTTAAAATAAGACATGCTTGTATAAATCTGGGATCCTTTTATGGGCTTTTTGATGACACTATGACTGAAATGTTAACGATTTATGTATTTAAGGGATGGGTTATGGGAAGAAGAGATATTTGCATATATTATGGGGGATGATGAATTATTAAGTTTCTACTCATGATGAAGATCAGAAGCTACCTTTTTATATTCTTTTTTCCCATTTCCTTTCTTTTTTCTGTACACCTTTTATTATTATTTTTCTTTCACTTCTTTCCACGTTTAACTTGCATTTTCTTTTACTATTGTTATAAAAAAAGAATGATAAACTGTTATGCCCAACTGTTTGCACCAAAAATATCCCAAGACTGGGGGAGGCTGAAGTGGTGGAACACTTCAAGGAAAAGAAAGAAGAATTTCAGGAGCTCAGCCTTTTAAAAAATAAATTAAAACAAAAACTAAAAGCAAGTGCAGAGGTGTGATTTTGACATAAACATGTCTCAAGTGGGCAACATTTTTTTATTTTAGGAGCAAGCTGCATTGTGTGGGTAATGCCATCTTATGTGCATAACAAGCTGTGCTTCCAAATATCTACTCTTCACTGGGCTTCCAAACTTCAAGTGTTTGTGAAGAGCTCCTCCTGCCACCCACCCCTGGTGGAATCGGGCTTCTCTTACCAGGCTGGGTCTGATGCTTGGCTGTTGTCGAAGCTTCTGCTTCTTCCTCACTGCTGTCTGAGGAACTGTCCGAGGAGCTCTCCTTATGTATAGTGATTCCAGAGGACTTAGCAGTCAGAGCCTGTCCTTGGCTCTGTTTAACCTTTGGGGAGGGAATCTGTTCTTCCTTCCCTGTTGCTTTTGTGGCAGATCTCCGGGGTTTGTTGGAAGCAGCACCGGATGTATTTAAGTTGGTCTGTACATCCTTTCCTGAAGGAATGGCTACTTTGCCAGCCACCAGCTTAAAAAAAGGGTGAATAGGAGGCTGTTGGGGGGGGGGAGAACATAACCGGAAATGCATTTTAAAACGTGTATTTTCTCAGGAACAACAAGACATTTGTGTCTGAAACAAAACCAATACTGAACTGCCATCAATCATAAGACTATGCAAATCTGCTCAGGATGCTCCAGTTTCTATTGCTGACTGTTTCACAGAAGTTCAATACATACACAAAATACCCTTGAAGATAACATTGTTTTATCTTTAAAGCAATTAGCCATTTCAAAATTTACATAAATAATTTCTACGTTACCTGCACTGCAGAAAATAAAACCAAGAACCACTAGATTGCCAACTCCACCAATGGCAAGATGTTGATACCTCCCCTGGTTCCAATAAGAGAACCTGTAAGATTAGCCTGACCTGCGTGGCTTCACTTATAGTATCTTATCTACCTTGAGAACAACCTTCTTGAAGAGTGGCTTCTTGTATGGAAGAATGACCTCTCCTTTTACCTGCTTTGCTGGCTTCTCAGCTTCTTTGCTATCTGAAGAATCAGAGCTGCTGCTTTCTGAGCTCTCAGAAGCTTTTGGAACAGGGACAGTTCCTGCTTTTGTTGAGGCTGTCCCCCCTTTCCCTGCTGGCTGAGGTTTGCTTGATGTGAGCCCTGCATTCTTGGCTGTCACGCTTTTCACAGGACTTGTAGCAGGTTGACGTGTTACCTGAGCTGGTTTCTATGGAAATAAAATATTGCAGAATTAGACTGTGGCGAAGATAAGAGTAATTCCCGATTCAAAGGAATGAAATCAGTAATTCAGTTGCCTGAACATGGAGAATAGCCACCTTAGAATTGGCAACGAAGATACTGAAGTGGTGGACAGCTTCCATCTTTTAGGATCAAGCCAATAAAGGAGCAAGCAGTCAAGATAAGCAACAGAATAGCACTTGATATAACAACCATGAAAGTCTTGGAAAAGATATTGAAATATTGTGCGTAACAATCTCTACAAAGATTAGAATCACACAAATCTTAGTATTCCTGAGGTACTCTATGGAAAAATATGCAGGATTTTGAAAAGTAAGAACTTTTCCAAAATAGGAAGAAAACTGGTGCTTTTGAAGGGTTTTTTTTTGTTAGAGAAGACTCCTGAGAATACTGCAGACAGCCAAAAAAGACAAACAAATGGATCATTGAACAAATCAACTCAGAGTTCTCCCTTGAGCATAAGTGACCAGGCTCAAATTATCCTACTTTGGGTACATTATGTGAAGACCTAGCTCTTAGGAACAGGATCTAATGCTGGGAAAGGAGTAAAGAAAGAAAAGATGACCTGCAACAATGCGAATGGATTCAAGTAACAGTGGCAATGGGCATATTATTAAAAGACCTGAAAGAACAGGTTAGGAACAGACTGTCATGGACAAGATCTTTGTGGCTGCTAAGAGATGATACTGATTTGATGACACATCATCAATCAGTTGCCTAACCACTATCACTAGTTGTTTCCAATTGTTTTCTAGAGGCCTGGTAAGTGTAGGAATTAGATTGTAGCAGCATTCAACACACAAGCTGCTCCTATCTTGTGGTAGCTCTATAGAAGCAGAAAATGGCCTAAAACATGGACGGGCAGGAATTTGAGCAGGCTGTTGTGGCCCCGCCCTCTGAGCCTGTCCCATCGGAGGAAGAAAGCTCTGAGCATGAGGAAGAGGAGTCAGCCAGGCCTCCCTCTCCAGGCCCCTCCCCTCTGGCACTGTCTCAGGTGCCGGCCGAGGGAGAGGAGATTAGCAGGGAGACAGGTGTCTCGGATGAGAGTGAAGGAGAGACATCATTCCTGGACGCACGCCTCTGAAGGCGTGATAAACGATTGCAGCAGCTCAGGAGGCGTGCTAGGGATTAGAACTGAGTCACTGGACCACACCCCAGAGACTATATAATAGAGGGTGGTGGCCAGTGATCCCTGTGACGAACAAAAATAAACCTTGGATAGTCACTAAAGCCTCGTCCGAAACTGCTGAGAGGAATATTTATTTCTGTTGGACTCTTGTACACTGAGTATATTATCTTTCTGTTTTCTGTGGCAAATAAAGCACTTGGCAGACGGTGTGTATATCGCTGCCAAGTTGGAGATAAAGACCTGGGTGTGTTCCAAGTGCTTCCTTAACCTTCGGCTGGCTGTGTTTGTGTGTGTGTGTGGACGGGGACAGATCACAGGCATTCCTTCACTTGTCCTGATGTCAATGCATTTAAGGGTCTGCTTCAAAACAAGGGAATCTTATAAAAGCTGTAATCTGCTTCTACATTAGCTTCCAAGATGGTGTTCAATCTGCAAATGTCAACCTTCATTTTCCTTTCCAGAAAAAATACCCCGTGTGCCTACACATTTGTAGTTGCTTGGTTTCCAAGATGCCAACAGACTTTGTTTATATGTTTGCATGCAACTTCCATTACAGGAGGCCCCACAACCGCTAAGCAGCTCGCCATCTTGTTTCAGCCACAATCTTCCTTTTATTAAAAGGAAAGGCGTGTGGGGAAAAATGTAAGTTTGCTACTTCATCTGTCTTGCTCTACCCTATAATTTTCTCCCTAATTCCCCTGAAAGAACTGCAAAAAAGGTATGGGTGTGTGGTGTGTGGTTGAGTTATAAATATTTAGGATGTTGATTAGGACTTAATGTCAGCAATTTCAGGGCTATTTTTAAAATGTGCAAAAAAAAAAAAAAAAGCTATGTTCCCTTCAGCACAAACAACATTGGTGTTAGAAAGGGGCTTTCTGAATTTTGTCCCTCTTATCAGGTGGAGAGATACCAGGAGAGATGGGGTAGGAATGGGGATTTCAGCTCAAAATATGGGAACCTTTGTGAGGGAAGAGTCTTTGTTTTGCACTCAGGACAAGCTTATTTGAGGGCCTTGTAGTGATTTTATTGTCTTCCTGGACCTGGACCTGGAATCCAATCTACTATACAGTGTGTTAAGAGGGATTCATCTGGGGGAAACGCACGGCATTCAGTTCGTAATGTGATTGTATTTGTCAATAGATACAGATCATGTGTTGTCAACAGAGCTATAGGCTGATTCTCTTTGGTCCTTTAGCTACAGGCTACTACTCTTAAAGAGTATTACATTGTTATTTTATTTACTTCTTCTGCTGTTTGGGTTTGGGCTGCTATATTGGAACTGTACTGAAAACAAATTATAGCGCTCTAGAGAAAAATCTGGCTGTCACTTTTTTTCCCTTTTTTAAAAAAACTCAGATTCTAGCCTCTTAAGGTGATGAAAATAAGTGGAACAAAATAAAGTACTTAGGGAAATTTCAGGATTCATCTGGAAGAAACTGCAAAGCTGAATTTTTAAAAGACTAACATTTTTTAAAAATAGATTTTTTCCTAATACAATTTTTTCCCAATACAATACAAATAATAATAATAATAATGAAATGAAAAAAAAACTCCCATAAAATTATGCTTTCTATTGATTGCCAATTCTTTCCTTTTCTTCTCTGACCCTTTTTAATCCGTCAATGGATAAATCATCAATTCAGTCTTTTCTTCTTTCAACAAAAAGAAGCTTCCAGTCTGAGGACCAACATTTCCCAAGAGCTACAAAACAAGAGTGTTCTGCAGAATTTCTTGTTTCCATCATTAAAAAAAGGGAGGAGAAACTACAAATATTAAGCAAGTGTGCACAGATGGGCTTCCATCTACTATATACATGGCAGATTTAGAGGTTTTCTTTTTGGTTTAGAGCACTTCTAATTGTATACAAATGCTTCCAGCTGTCCATATCCCCTTTGCCGAGACTTTTCAAATCTTCCGAGAGTCAGTATTACAAAAGTAAATTCAAGGAATGGAATAGATTTGCATGACATATTTCAGATCCACGTCCCTTTCAAAAATCTAAAGCTAAAAACCTAATAAATGTCAGTTTTTGCCCCTGAGTACTTTTGACACAGTAAGTCATCTTACTGTGTCAAAACAGAGAAAGAAGAGATTCTTAGGCCTCTTCCTGAACTCCATGCCATTGAGTTCTGTCAACTACCCACTTTGTATTTTTAAGGTATTCACAATCAGTAGCAATTAATCACCAACTGCATTTGCTTTCCCCAGATGGCACACTCATTAAACTCAATGGGGCTTAATTCAAAGTAAAAGCGCATTAGACTGTTTTTACAGCCTAATGTTATACTTCTACCTACAATTCTGTCTCTTTTTTTTAATTGTCACACAAAATAGTCTTTCAAATTTACTTCTCCTGATCAATTCTAAACACTAGATTTTTTTGTGCGCGCTCCCATGTACCCTTCATATTCATCACCTGAGGCAACAACATATAAATGTATATATCCAACATATTTTTTAAAAATAGACATGCTTTCTAAGTAACAAAGCACTGTTCTCTCTCTCTCTCATTCATTCATTCTCAAAGCCAGATCAGATAGCATATTAATCTCCTCCCTCAATCAACCATCAAAAACTCTCTAGGCAATTTTCCTGCAATGATTTTATTCTGGCCTTCTCACCCCATTTCTAATTTTGAGAACAACTGCAGCAATTGGCAGTTCTACTCAAGAACTCGTATTAGGGAGCCAATTCTGACACTTAGAACCTGAGTCACCAGGCTCTGGAAATAGGGCAAGAGAAAAAGAAAATATAACTGGACAGGAATCCACTCTACCCTTCTGCAGACATTACTTGGACAGCCAAGGTATCACTTCTAGACTGGAATTCTAAACTTGCTGCTACTTCTGCTGTCAGCACCACTTTACCCACAGTGCACCCCCTTGGCCCAGAAATTGAGGAAACAGCAGTTCAATTTTACAATAACCCCAAATTCCTGGCTGGGGAATTTTGGGAATTGAAATTTACACTTCTTAAAGTTTCTGAGGTTGAGAAATACTAGTATAGAGAACTGTAATAGGGAATCAGGTAACAGGAAACAGTTGTGTTTCACGACCTTACTCTTTCACTCCAGTTACCATTCCATTTTCTCAGGCAAGAGTCTTGGGCTGGGGAATGAATGGGTGGCAGTTTGTTGCCAGAAGATTTTCTCCTGCCTCCTGCTCTGAAATTTGTGGTATCTGTATTAACTGCTATGCATTAAAGGGATGGAGTTAAGCTAAGAAACCATGGCTGAAGGATTCTTGTATCCCACAGCCCACATTTTCATCAGTAGCACCACAGATGAGATTTTTTCAAAATCAACCAATGATGCTGCCAACCTCCCTCCTCCTTTTTCGTCCAGTGGAAGGATGTAAAGAAATTCCAAAAGAATTTCTTATACAAGAAAAACTTCAGTAAAGATGAGCTCTGGAATGGAAAGTACTTGAAAAATAGATTCCATTCAGTTCATATAGCAGTTGGATATGATTTGAATTATTAACACCATTTGTTAAAAGGGAATTTGCAGGTTTTAACTAACTGCTTCTGTGAACACTTGTGACACAAATAATTATGAGATTAGAGCAGTATAAGAAAACAAAGCATATAGGAAATATTTTTACTACCTACAAAGAAAATGGGAAAGGAAGCAATTATTGAAACAATTACAGAGGCTTCCTCCTTATATGAAAAATTCAATGGACAAAAATGTTCTAGTGTTCAGATTGCCAACAAAGATGAAAAAAAGGAGACACTTAGCTGCAGCGTTAACAAAGGGGGAGGGGGAATCCCTGAATCCAAAATACTATTAATCTCATTAAATATAAATTGAGTCAATTTACTTAAAAAAAGAACAGTTTTTAACAAGCTCAAGTATATAACTTATATTTTTGATAGCAAAGAAAAAAATAATCCAAGAACATACAGCATCAAGAAGCACAAGCAAACAAAAACTGAGAAATTTACTGTATATATTAGCAACAGAAATCTAATCAAATTTAAATAGGAATGACTTCCTTACATATAACATATTACATAGCAAGGCAAGCTAAGACAGTGTAAAGAAAAGAGAAAAACTGATTTTAAAAAATGGAAAAAAAATGACTCAGGTATAAGGAACTGTAAAAGTTTAAAGCAAAGCAAAGTATTTAAATATTACTTTGTAGATGGGGAAAAAAATGAAAAGGCAACTGTGGTACTGGGTTATAATTGTGGTATTAATTGTGGTATTTTTAATCACACCATATCTTCTTACATCACATATTTAATTGCCCACTTTTGTACAATGATGATGCAATAATAAAATTAACCAAATACTCTTATCTGTATCTTAATTCATTCACAGCTTTGTTCCTGAGGTAGAAGCCCCCTTTCAAGCCCCTTGTTCTCCTTCTTACTGATAAAACAAACGATTACAAACAATGCCAGAACATTCACAGCTTAAAAAAACCAAAAAAACCCCCATTGGGTTTTGTAAAAAAAATAATAATGGTAGGGCACAGTCTTTCCCCTTCCACAGATTTTTCTATGGTTACCTGAGTGGCCACTTTATCTTCCTCAGAGTCAGAGTCATCACTTGAATCTTCACTACTATCTTCGCTCTGCTGGGCTTTCTGATGTGGTCCCTTTGGAGGCTGGGGCTTCACTGTACATACACTTTGAGCTGCACGAGTTGCTTTGGGGACTGAAAGCAATCAAGAGACAGAAAAGTGATAACTCGGCCAGTTCTAAAAGGTTGCACCATTAGAACACGCAGCCTCACTTCCTTCTTTCTCTTTGCTGACTTTCGCCAAGAGCCCCAAAGATGCATCGATTCTCAGTGGTTTTCTTAAATGTTTGATAAGGCAGCTCAAGCAGTATGATTTCAAGACGATACACATTCTGATAACTGTATTTTGTTGGTATGTTATGAACTGCCTTTTTGAAATACATTTTTATATCACACGCAGGTTAGAAATATGTTTAAATATGTACAGGTGGTCCTCGGCTTACAACCACAAATTTGTGTTGCTAAGTAAAACATTTGTTAAGTGAATTTTGCCCTATTTTATGATCTTTTTTGCCACAGTTGTTAAGTGAATCACAGCCGTTGCTAAGTAAGTAACAGGTTTATTAAGTGAAGTTGACTTTGTCTGTCAGAAGGTTACAAAAGGTGTTCACATATGACCCTGGGATACTGCAATGAACCCAGTTGCCATGCTTCCGAATTTTGATCATGTGACTATGGGGATGCTACAATGGTTGTAAGTGTGAAAAACGATCGTTAAGTCATAAGTCACTTTTCTCAGTGCTTTTGTAACTTTGAATTGTCACTAAATGAACAGTTTGTAAGTCGAAGACTACCTGTATCAGAAAAAAGGTTAGTGGAATGGAGAGGGAAGATACAATGTTGAATGTTTGCCTTAGGCACAAAAGCCAAACACGTCTTAGGAACAGCCACTGTGTTCTTCAAAAAATTATTTTGTGAAACTATCCACAATTTCCTGATACTGAAAAAAAACAAAATCAGTCATGCTGATTTTTTTCCCCCAAGGCAGCTTTGGGACAAAAAGGTTAGGAGAACTATGCGCAATTTCAATTTACAGCATTGAAATTTAATAAATCTCATTAGCAGTTACCTGGTTATGACAGACACAGTATTTTCCTCACTGTGAAGTCAGTCACCGTAACAGCGGGGCTGACTATGGATACTGCAATTTTTTTCAATAAACAAATTGAGGTGGTCCTAGACTTACAACCATTCGTTTAGTGACCGTTCAGATGGCACTGAAACAAGGACTTCATATTTACGACGGTTGCAGCCTCTCCATGGTTACATGGTCAAAATTTCAGTGCTTGGCAACTGGCATTTACTTATGAAAGGTCCCAGGGTCATATGATCACCCCTTTTAACTTTCCCAGCGGGCTTCCAACAAGCACTTAACGAGGAAATCCAAATTTGCTTAACATTCTGATTCACTTAACAACAACGATTCCTTTAACAACTGCAGCAAAAAGGTGGTAAAAAATGGGATACATTTTACAACTGTCTTGCTCAGCAACGGAAATTTTGGGCTCAGTTTTGGGCTGTAAGTCAGGACTAACTGTACATAACATAGCTTTTATTATAATAATAATAAAATCTAACTGCAGAAAGATGCCTTTAGTTTAAAATTTCAAAATACACACCACTAAAAACTACAGTTTTTAGACCACTACAGTTCTAAAGCTGTGTGCCAAACCTACTTTAACTATACCAAGGAACTGGTGAAGAGATGATAGACTTTAAATTCCAAGACAATCAGATTTGTTTAAAAATATATTCTAAAGGTGTTTTGAATTCCTCAGTCAATTGTTTTAAAGCACCACATGACATCATCTCTCATAGTTATTAACAACTCAACACTCGTTACTGCTGTAACAGATTTTTCACAGATTTCGGCAAGAAGAAATTTATGAGATCTGTCAACTGCTGTAGCACTGATAGAAACACAATTTGCTAATCTCTGTATTTCTATAGGCCAGTGATGGCTAACCTTTTTGCTGTTGTGTGCCAAAAGCGGGGGTCGAACGGGGGGCTCGCGCACTTGCGTGCCCACAACCATAATTCAATGCGCCCCCCCGCATATGCCCCCCCCCGCGCTCCCCCTGCTTTTGGCACGTGATGGCACAGTAGGCCCTTATCTCACCCTCCCCAGGCTCCAGAGGCTTTCTAGGAGCCTGGGGAGGGCAAAAACGGCCTTCCCCAATCCCCCCGGAGGCCGGAAATGGCCTGTTTCCTGACTTCCGGTGGGCCCAGAAGGCTCAAAAACTAGCTGGCCAGCACGCGCATGCACGCTGGAGCTCAGCTAGGGCAATCCTCGCGTGCCCACTAATATGGCTCCGCATGCCACAGGTGGCACACGTGCCATAGGTTCGCCATCATGGCTATAGGCAAAACCACACAAGAATCTATTTCTGAGATACATTTGAGAAAGATACATTTGAAAGAACATCAAGAATGTGATGTTTGTAAAATAGGGCACAGGTTTAAAAGAAGAATTTCCATAAAGTAACAATGAGAACAGTTAAAAGTTGAAAATATTTCTGAAGGAGTTTATATTAACAAAGGGAAGTTTTGTACAAAATCTATGTACAAAATGGTGAAGAAAGTTGCAAATAAAAGTAGAAACTTATCTTTAATGCAGCTGAAAAAAAATCTGTACCTTTTCACTCTAACAGATGAAAATACTGCCTATAGATGACGGAGGAAAATAAGCCAAAAAACATAAGACACTTAGCAGATTCTTATTTATACTACTGTTCAATTAACAAGATCCTCCATGCTCCAATATCTGACACCATTAATCACAAAACAGCTATGCTTGGCCTTGTTAGGGCTTCTTCATAAGAAAAAGAACCATTAAAATTAATCATATTAAGATAAATCAACTGCTTTCAATTGTGAATAATCCAGAATCATGAATCTGTTTATTACTGGTTTTCTTCCATCTTTAGAAAAACTCATCATTCAGAAATGAATCTGGGATTGCCAATACCACAAAGGACAAGAACATCCAATTTCCTTCAAGTGAGCATCAGTTAATTGGTGAGACACGCTGACACTATAGGCCAGTGATGGCTAACCTTTTTGCCATCGCATGCCAGGAGAGGGGAGGGGGCGGGGGAGGGTTGCGTGCGCACGTGCCCACACGCATGCGTGCGCAACCCCCTCCCCCCTCCGCTCCTGGCACATGATGGCCTGGTAGGCCCATTTTTCTTTCTTACCTGGTTCCAGATCCTGTGTATCTGGGAAGGGCGAAAACAGCCTTTCCCACTCCCTTGGAGGCCCTACGGAGGCTGAAAGGGCCCATTTTCCAACTCTCGGTGGGACAGGAAGTGACATTTTTTCCTGTCCCCAGCCTCCAGAACCTCTCTAGGAGTCTCTAGGAGCCTCTCTAGGAGTCTCTGGAGGCTGGGGACAGGAAAAAACATCACTTCCTGTCCCACCGAAATGGGCCCTTTCAGTCTCCATAGGGCCTCCAAGTGGGAAAGGCTGTTTTCGCCCTTCCCAGATACACAGAGAGGATCTGGAGCCAGGTAAGAAAGAAAAACGGGGCTTCCCCACCCCGCCCCCAGGCCCTCCAGAGGCAGGAAACAGCCTGTTTCCCTACTTATGGTGGGCCCAGAAGGCCCAAAAATCAGCTGGCCAGCACGCGCAAGCGCCCCAGAGCTGAGCTGGCATGCCCAGTAATATGGCTTCGCATGCCACCTGTGGCACGCATGCCATAGGTTCGCCATCACGGCTATAGGCTAAAGGAAAAATTGAAGATGCTAACACATCTCTCGTGTCAGTTTTGAAATAACTGGCATCAGTGGTGGCACTTCAGAATGCAGTTTGTGCATCGCCTTGTTATTAGTGTCCTTTCCCTGTCAAGCTGCTAAGCAAAGAAATTAGTAGAGCCGCTGAAAATAAAAGGTTTTTTCCCTGAGCATCAATAGGGCTGGAGCCTTCTTACTAGATGGAGCTGGCAATTTGGATGGTGTAAGGTCAGTTTCATCCTCACTGTCAGACGAGGTGCTGCTTTCATTCTGGGCTTCTTTCTTCTTCAAAACACCTGGTGCAGCTTTGGGTAGGATCCCAGGCTGATTGGCCTGATTTTGACTGGTCCTCACTGAAGGACGTGGAGTTGATAAACCCTGCACAACAAGGGAAAAAAACAGGCAGACATACAGATAAAATGCACTGATTTCTCATATACCTTTCCTTCCTTCTTCAATTTCTAACAGAACCAAAATGATATATTCCCACCATTAAAAACAGCAATGATCACAACTGGGATTGCCGTGGCTAAGTATGATGCTTTGCTTAACAACCGCTTCACTTAGTGATAGAAATTCTGGTCCCAATTAGAGTAGTAACCCGAGGATTACCTGTATAGCCTGAAACAGATACAAAAACTTAATCTGCCTGCCAAGCTTCTTAAATATCTTTGAATATCAGATTTTTTTTGTGTGTAACATTTTATTTACAATAAAATACATTTCATGGTATTTTATGAATGTCTTTTAGCTTTGTATAGTTTTTATTTTGTTAAGATTGTAAGATGCCCAGAGTTACTTTGTGGCAGTATGGGCAGCCAATAAATTTCATAAACAAACAAATGATTAACATTTAAATTGGTTAATTTGTCAGATCAACTGCTTCTTAAATGACACACAACAAATACCTGATTTGAAATCCTTTGGTCTTGCTAGTAACTAAAGATGGACCATGCCCATGGTATAAACATTACAACCCCATGGAGATGCATTTGCAATTGAGTTTATTTTGGAAAGAAGGGGGATAAAGCACTACTTTTACAAAAGACAACCAGCCATTCAATTGCCCTAGAAGGAAGCCACGCAGCGGTGAGCAATACAAGCTACAGTTGCCTGAATTACACCAGACTTCAAAGCCCCTCAAAGGAAGCTAAATCAAAGCTGTCTTTTCAAGAAACTCAGCATCTGGTCTGCTGTATTTTTAAGAACTCTGGGGAGAATAACAAAAAATGAGGCAAGAAAAGAAATCATTTTCTGAGCAGCTTTTATCTGTTAAACAGGGCAATGCCAAGGCTGCTAGGTCTCTAACAGCAGTTCTTTCTTTCTTATTCCTCTGTGTGACAACAATGAATATTGTAAGACGGTGTAAAATGTGGTGTAAAACACACCTGACAATCGCTGGCGAGAAAACACATGTTCTCTAAAAAGGGGAAAGGAGTTATGTAATTGGATCTTTTTCTTTCTTTCCTCCCCCTTTGTAAGTCTTCAATTCCCGTAATTTGGATGTTTGTGTTATTACTAGTCAGTTGATATGCACAATTTTGTCATTTTTGGCCTATTTTTTTCCAAATCAATGTAATTATCCTAACAATGTTAACTGAACGGATAAGTTGGATGATGTTCTGCTTTTACACAAATCTTTCATTCATAATACATATTTTCTCCTGGCCCATCAAAAGAATTTGAAGACCTGGCTCTGCCGACTCCCATGGTGCTCACAGTGGAGCAACCAAAGGAGACGTATGCGAAACATTCGGAAAGGAACATATCCATTCACCTTGTACTGAGAAGTGTTCAAAAGCAGTGCTATGGAAAATGACAGACTTATCTCAATGGAGGGAAAAATCAGGAAGGTGCAGCAAGAGGCAGAGACCAAATTTTACAGATGGAAGATGGGGCAGATAATAGGTGTACCATACACTAGGCTTCCAAGATGCCAATGGAGACAGCTAGAACTATATTGCTTTAAGATGTGGGGTACACACATTGGCAAAGAAAAGGACCTTTGTATGCGAAATTATTCTGTCTGATCATCTAGAGCAGAGGTGAGGAACGATGGAACCTTTATAACTTGTGGACTTCAGCTCCCAGAATTCCACGTCATTAAAGGGCCATCATTCCTCATCTCTGCTCTAGAGGAAGCCTGCTTAAGATCACTGACATGAAAGCTAAAAGGCCATGGACCAGAAGGCTGTCATTTTTTGTCATACTTTATGGAATATGCACTCCAAAAGTTGTCTTCACCCCTTTTTATATTTTTAGGAAATCGTTCAAAACCTGATGATTCTGATGTCTAGTTGTGGAAAGAGGGGATGACCATTTTATCTGAATTACCGGAATGACATTTTTGTTAGTATATTTTAGCAGGTTAATATTCATGGTTTTTTTTTTACACCATCCAAAGAAGCTACCCTGGCAGGCTGTAAATATCTTATTAAAAATAAGCAAATCATCTTACAAATGGCTGGCTCACGCAAAAATCAAAACCACCGTTCCTAGAGGAAAAACACCAACCTTCTGACTTATGGGAACCGGCGAAATCTCACTGTCACTTTCAGATGATGAGTTGCTGCTGTCTGAGCTCTGGGCTTCTTTTGAAGGAGGCGGTGGCTTTGATAAGATGGTTGCGGGAGACTTCTGGGTGGATTTTGATGGAACAGAAGCAGAAACTGCCTTCTTTAATGGGCTTGATGCTGCATTTTTCCCTGGTGCTTTGGAGGCCTGAGGATTTTTTTTGGAGATAATTTTAACTATGGTTAGATATTAGAAAAATGATATAAATCAGAGTTCATGAACTTGAGTAAGACATTCTGGTGTAATAAATGAAAACGAATGCTTGGGAAATAGGTTAAATTGTTCTGAAACTACATCAATTTCTTTTCCCTGAACTTTATTTATAAATACAGAACGTTATGACGAGTTAAATAAAGAAAAATATAACTATTGTGTGTGTATATATCTACAGAATTTTCCAAATGCTTCAAGCAGTTCCAGGGTAAGAATAGAATTATACTATATATACTCTACATGCATAGTAAAACCTACCAAACAGAACTGGTATTTAAAAGTGATCCTGAACTACCTGTTTAGCATTCATATTGTTTTATTTTGTTACACTATCCAGAATTACTACCTTGGAGGGCTGTAAATGTCTTATTAAAAAATAAGCAAATCAACTTACAAATGGTTGGCTCATGCAAAAACAAAGATCACCATTCCTACTTTTGAAGAACACCAACCTTCTGACTTATGGGAACCGGCGGAGTCTCGTCGTCACTCTCAGATGATGAGTCGCTGCTGTCTGAGCTCTTGGCTTCTTTTGAAGGAGGCGGTGGCTTTGATAAGATGGTTGCGGGTGACTTCTGGGTGGATTTTGATGGAACAGAAGCAGAAACTGCCTTCTTTAATGGGCTTGATGCTGCATTTTTTGCTGTTGCTTTGGCGGCCTGAGGATTTTTTTGAGATAATTTTAACTATTGTTAAGAGATTAGAGAAATGGTATAAAGTCAGAGTTCCTGACCAAGACATCCTGGTGTAATAGATCTTGAGAAGGCTTGGGAAGCAGGTTAAATTATTCTGAAGCTGTGTCAACTTCTTTTCCCTGAACTTTATTTTTAAATACAGAGCAATATAATTTTTTTAAAAAAAATATAATTTGTTTGTGTGTATATTTTGTGTGTATATACCTATAGAATACACATGCTGTATGAGCAGGGTAAAAGATAATCTGGTAAATTTGCAGCCTGAAAACAGCCATAAGGGTGAAATCTTTGTTCAGCAGCAAGTGAAAACAATTATCTTTGTGGGCATTGTCTGTAATCTTAAAGTCTGGTGAAATTTACATAAGATTATGTTAACTAAACATTTGGTTATTTTATATTCCAATTTCAATCTATCATACCAAAGTGAGAACCTAGTTGTCACTATGACATTCTTATCTCTCCAAATTATAAATCAGCTCTCACAGCTCTTTAGATTCCACAGGAATAGTTGGCAATGAGATAGTATCTGCCTAATAATTCCTATACAGTGGATTTCCAGACACTTCATTGGACTGACCAGTTTCAAGCGGTTTTCCTTTCCTACATTTTGTACCCATTGGCTTCAGATGTTGGAATCAGTGTCTTGGCCAACTTTACCAATGCATCTCACCTGTGATACTGAAGCAGGTGCTTTAGTCTCACTATCCGATGAGTCAGTAGTTTCTGAAGTGTCTGTTGATTCCGGGCTTCTGTTTGCACTTCCAGATTTTGCACTGGCTTGCTTTGCTGCGATTACCTTTACTGCATTTCTTGCACAAGAGCCAGGAGTGACTGGTGACTTGTTCAGCAGTGGACTATTGATCGGGGAATTTTGCACAGCTGCTTTAATCTAGAAGGAAAGATAAAAAATGTTCCTTGTATTGCGGGGTGAGGTAAACAGCATAGGTATTGGCTACTAAAGATGCATACCCTATCTCAGGGCTGTCAAACTCCCGGCCCACGGGCTGGATGTGTCACACAAGGGCCACGCCCATGCCCGCTTTAGTGAAGAGGAAAAAAGTCCCTTTATGTCATGTTATGCCACTGTGACGACGCGAGTTTGACACCCCTGCTCTAGCTAATGCATTGGAATAGTCAAGTTGGGACAAGAGGAGGATAAAACCCAGTTAATACTGGAAACATATTCGATCCATTGAGTAATGTTATTCTATCAAGTCTAGTCTATTGCTCTAAATTGAAGGAGTTAAAGTAGAGGACAATATATCCACTCATATTCCAGTGTTATTCTTTGGTATTGACAAAACTCAGGAAAGTTGCTTATGTAGGTTTAGGACAAAGGAAGCAAAAGGTTGGTATTGTTTTCTCTTGCATTTTCTGGAACCCCTTTAGGCAGGAGAAGTTTTCTTTCTTTCCCACTAGGAGAAGGAAATGAATAAGAGGGTCAGCTTAGGGAGAGAACCTCTTGAGAAAAGCAATTTGGAACCTGAAGGGGGAAAAAAAGAAAATGTAAAAATAATTATGATTGGGGCAGGAGGTAGAAAAGGAAAACTGAACCTGCCCATGGCTCACATGTCAAAGTCAAGAGAGATAAATCAACCCAATTTCATCCTTGGTCAAACAAAACTACACCAAAGAGGAATTTCTCTTCAAAGTGAGATGCTAAATTCGACTATAATAATCAATTCTAGTCTGCTTGCTCTCCCATTATTGGAATAGGAATTGCATTCTGCTCACAATTTCAATTTCATATTCTCATAACCATCCTGGTGTCCACTTTCCCTCTCTACAGAAGTAGGAGAATAGCTTAGAATGTATTCCCTTCCCCATTCCTGGAACGAAGTCCTTGTGTGCCAATTCAGACTTCAGCACTGGAGACAATGTTGTTGTTGATTCAAAAATGCACATGGGAGAATCCATGCATAAGAATTTTCTGATAGCCTTAAAAAGCTAGTTCTGGCACAAGAGCAAAGGTTGGAAAGCTCCATCTCAACATCTCAAGTTTTCTTAAGACAAAAACGTAGTCAAGTGGCAAGAGATTCAAATAATGGGGATAGGTTCATTTAATTTAGAACCTCGTTAAACTTGAGTGCATATTTTAATTAGCTCTGTAGTGTTTACTGGTCATTAGAGGACCAATCTATTCCCCCATCTCTATTCGTTGGATTTGTAATGTCTTCTTTGAGCATCTTCTGAAGACAAAAATGCTCACTAAACAAATGAGCAGTGTCTGGAGGTTGATACTATGGAGTTGATGTATGAATCCTTTGGAAATTTTCCTCAATATATCCTTTGGAAATGGCCAAATGGGGAGAAGCAAAGGGTATTCTTTCTCAAAGGCACTTTCCCTGCTCTGCCTTTGTCAAGTGAGTGAATTATTTAGTTAGTGAATTATTATTGCAGGCACAGACAAAAAGGACACACCCTTCCACTAATTTAGAAAACTGTTAACTAGAGTTACTTGGACTGTTGGTGCTTTTGTCCCGTCCTCAGAGTCAGAATCATCACTCGACTCCTTGCTTGTGCTCGTCGCCTTCTTTAAAGCTAAAATATAGAAAACAGAATTTGATGCCAAAGGAGATCACTTTTAAAAAATGTTTAGCATTTATAGTTACCAATACTAAATGATAGTATCTCAGTGTAGTGTAGTGTAGTGTAGTGTAGTGTAGTGTAGTGTAGTGTAGTGTAGTGTAGTATAGTATAGTATAGTATAGATATCCCTTTATTCTATAGTAATCTTTGTTGCTCCACATATCAAGTTTTAAAATATTAGTACAAATTTTGAAGTGGGGTCAATCCATTCCTACCATCACCAAACACAGTAACCAGAAGTAGATTCAGCATCTAAGGTTCTTGCACTGTAAGAGGTATGTTCTGTTACCTCTGTGAAAGATGCTGATGCAAAAAAAAAAAAAAAAAAGATGTTTCTGTGACACTGCAAAGATACCCTTCAATCCTTACCTACATATTCAGAACTCAATGATCACATGTTAGATGTCAATTACATACACTCCATCATGACAAGCTTCTTTTTGGCTCAAAAAGTTGTTTTGAGTCCCAAATTGGTAGAAAAACTCTAAAGCCTGTTTTTCTTGAAGTGCAGTCTTTATAGATAGCATTCGGATTGGCATCAAAAGAAACTTATTTTTGCCAGCTCAGTATAGAGATGTTATACTGCATAAACACCCATCCAATAGGTCATGTAAGGCAGACTCCCTTTCTGGAATTTCCAAAAATTCCAGTAAGCCCATCAAGCCTTTCTGAAGGATTGTTTGGGCAAAGGTATCTTAAGATGCTTTCGTAACTGGCAATAGGAATGTTCTCCTTGACAGTGAATTTAGAACTTTCTTTCGGCTTTGAGTAAGAACTTTGAGATTACCTAAGTGAGGGAGAGACACAAAACTACTATAGCAGATCTTTTGAATTAAGCCTTGGTGGCGCAGTGGACTAAAGTGCTGTTAAGTAGCACCAGCTGCCTGCAAGTTCAAATCCCACCAGGCTCAAGGTTGACTCAGCCTTCCATCCTTTTGAGGTAGGTAAAATGAGGACCCGGATTGTGGGGGCAATAAGCTGACTTTGTATAAAAAAGAACACTGTTGGGGGGGGGGGGGCAAAAGCCCTACTAAGCAGGTATATACCAAAGTATGAAGGCTATTGCTTAACGCATTGTAAGCTGCCCTGAGTCTCCGGAGAAAGGGCGGCATATAAATCGAACTAATAAATAAATAAATAAAATCTTCACTGTTATCGGTAAGATAATAAAGATGAGACCCTTTCTGCAAATTTAGAGCGCTATCTATGCAACACTGCAATGAGAATCTTAAGTAAGCTTATACTTACTTGGTTTGGAAGGTGGGGCTTTTACTGTGGTCAACGTTGTTTCCTCCTCACTCTCAGATGAGCTGCCGCTGCTGCTGCTGCTATTGGAACTCTCTGCTGTCTTTGTGGTCTGTGTTGTTTTTTGTCCTCCTGAAATAAGTGACTCCGAAGAAGGTCCTGCTTTACTAGAAAGGCCTTTATTTGGCCCTGCTTTTCTCACAGATGGAGGCGGGGTCTTATTTGAAGCAGATTTGTCCTGCTCTCCTTTTGCTTGGGCAGCAGCAACGGTCACCCCCTTTCCTGGGACAGAATTAGTATTTTGGTCAGCCAATTTTTTTCCAGCCACAGGACTTTTCTCCTACAAGAAAAGTTGGTTAAAAGAGAAAGACATTCCATGATATTGTCAAAGCATTTTTATAGATACTTCAGCATATCCTACATTCAAAGAAACTTTCTGACTCAAGGTTTCCTAGAGATTTCATAACAACAATTGCCTGCTTAATATGTGCTCTGGGGTGACCTCACACTCTTCACTTCCAGTTCTAAATTGATGAACACATCTGTTCTTCTCCCGTTCAGGAGCGATCACCTCAACAGGGCGTGGCAGTCAAGAGCTGGAGGAGACACTTTGTCACCAGCAGACTTAGTGGCTTGTGTAATGAATCCTTTCCCATCAATAGTGATAGAGATCTTCTGTATGCTAAAATGAGGTTGATCCTATCCCAAAGGTGCTTTGGAAATGGAAGGATTTATATTTCTCTGAGAAAAAAAAGTGCAGACTACAGGAACCAGGACCACTACTCAAGTGACTCTGAGGGCACAGATAAATCTCCAAGTGCTTCAATGACCCTCTAAAAGGATGCAAATGACCAGCTGTCTGCAAGGAATATAAATCCTTCCATTCCTCACTATCCTGTCAGAGCTGAAGAAGCTTCTTGGATGGGAAACGAAACTTCCTCAAAGAAAAAACAAGAAAGTCCAGTTGCCTCCTGAAAAAAGCACATTTGGACAACCATGACCTGGATGACTGAGAATCTGTACAGAGGCTGATTCTAGCACAAGGGTATAAAAGTAGGATCTGGCCAATACCAGCATTCCCTTTGTGGTCACCAGAGAAGGCTGTTTCAGCCCCCCCCGCCGCCTTTAAGTGGAGAGAATTAAGGAACAAATTATATCTTAAACCTTTCAATGGCTGAAGACACCTTGCTAATTGTATACTTTAAAATTATGAACTTTTTCTCTCTGTGTATGTGTCTTTGGAATGTTCTGATACTTTATAGCACTGAATTAAAGACATCATTTTGAAGCAATATTGAAGACAACTTTTCCCAAGTAAACTTACATGTTTACTTTTTTCTCTTAGTTAACACTTTAAGATAAGCAATATATACTGCATTTTTCAGAGTATAAGACGCACTCCCTCCCCCCAAAAAGTGGATGGAAATATCTGTGCGTCTTATACAGCAAATGTTGTCGAAGCCTCAGCCACCTGTTGGCCCCCACCCTTCGTCCATTTTTTGCCTCCACGCATCACATTTTTGGCCATTTCCCTGCTACCTGGAACCAGCCGAAAACGGTAATGTGCTGTGGCGATCCCGGCAGCCTGGAACGGGTCTAAAACAGAGAGTGCAGAGGCCAAAAACAAGACGCACGACAGCCAAATATGTGACACACAGAGGCAGCGATGGGCTGTGGCGATCCCTGCAGCCTGCAACAGCTGATTGACGGTATTCCAGGAGGCTGATCCAACCGCCAATCAGCTGCTCGTGCTGAATCAGGCTGCGATAACGTGCTGAAGCTGACCAGGCTGTTTGCTGCAAGGACGCGAGCCAGATGAATACCGATGGATGCTGGTAGGTAGAGGCAGATTTTTTTTTTCTTTTTTTCCTCCCCAAAAACTAATGTGCATCTTATACTCCGGAGTGTCTTAAACTCCGAAAAAGATGTAGTTTGTTACTGAGGCATTTATCTGTAAAAAAACAATGGTGACAATACAACCTTATTGCTTAATGCATTGTAAGCCGCCCTGAGTCTCCGCAGAAGGGCGGCATATAAATCAAATTTTAAAAAAAACAAAAAACCTATGGACTCTGTTTTTGAAATGCAGGTAAGTTTCTAGTCAAGACAGTCACTTTTCTAAATTGCATCTGACTGCAGATTTTAAATATTTTCTAGGACATAATATTTAAAATAACGAGTGGTGTGGTGGCCTAGAGGTGGAGTTCTCACCTCACACTCAGGAGACTGTGAATTAGATCCTAGGTAGAGGCAGATATTTCTCTTTCTGGGCATATTGAGAATATATCTGCTGAACAAAACTCCGCATTGGTGACAGGAAGGGCATCCAGCCATTAAAACACTCTGCTAGCTCCATTCAGTTGCACAGACTCCACCCAGCAAGGGATTATGGGGGTCATTAAATGAAGGTGATGATGATAATGTTTAAAATAACAGACACCTAGGTGCAGTCCTAATTGACCATCCTAGATACATTCCTGATATTTTCCAGCAGAATAGCAATGATCAAAGTCTTTTTACTTACAGTTTTTTTGGCAACTGCTTCCTCTTCCGAAGATGATTCTGAATCTGAATCTTCGCTGCTACTCTCTTCTTTAGTTACTGTCTTTGTTGGCTTGGTACCGTTATTCACATGCAGATTAGCTGGAACACCCATATAAAAGCACAACATATTGACAGACTGAATGCAATTTTTTTTCAACTTATATTACAACCAACTAGAATGGAAAAGATTCTAGAAAAGGAGATGCCAAACTGAATCACTGAAGGGGCTCTGCTCTCTACCTTTTCTATCAAAGGATAAATGACCACTGATAGGTAGGAAATAAAATATGCTGATAAAAAAAGTTTCTTTTAAGCATCTGATTGAAATGATTTTGTCCATGCTAGTGCAAATGGACATGGTCTCAATAATCTCAATATAAGACACTCTGTGCACAAGCTATGTTAAATAGCAATAATACGTGAAAGTCTACTGAGGTTGTCCTGATTTAAATCTTCTCAAAGTTAATTATTTTCTACTCTTTTTTTTTCAACATAATTTTTTTTATTTTATAAAGAAACAAACATACAATTCTTAATCAATCATACAGTGTATCATCTTTTGTATCTTCTTGTTATTCCTCCAGTATTTATCATATCTTAATTTTATCATTTCATTTATTGTGACATTCCCCCCAAATTTCTTACTTTTCAATTAATACATTTATCTATCTTTTTATTTTAATAAAAAAAAATTTTCAACAACAATTTTATCCCCAACCATCCTTCAACCTCCCATCCCCACACACACCCCCAACTTCCCAGAGCAAAAACAGGGTATAACATTTAACAAATGTAAGCTAAAATAAACTAACTTACTACAAGATTCAAAACTCCCTCACACTCTTTAACTCCCCTTTTAAAAATTATTCATCAACCTTCCTTTTACAAATTCTGTTATCAAATTTCACATTTGTTGCTAAGATCCTTTCCATACCTTCTTATCAATAAGACATTCTTCAAAATATAAATTTCAAAACTTTTTTTTTAAAAAAACTATCCATTAAATTTTAAGTTAACCATTTTAATACTTCAATAAGTTTTAGAAAGCTATCCAATTTTAATTAAGCCTTTTTACTTCAATGAAACAGTAAACTTTAGTTTCAAAACTTTTTTTTAAAGAAAAAACTATCCATTAACTTTTAAGTTAACCATTTTAATACTTCAATAAGTTTCAAAAAGCTATCCAGTTCTAATTAAGCCTTTTTACTTCAATAAAACAATAATTATTACTAAAATACTCCTCAAAAGAAATTAATCTTCCATTCTTCCTTTCTTTCTATATTTTTTCCAGTCCTTCTTCTTCAGTAATACTTTCTTCTTCAGCATTGCTCCTCCCCCTACTTTTATTTTTGAAAATTTTGGAATTTTGATTTGAGGTTGATGTATCTTGAAAACTCGTTCTCTTCTTGGAATTATTTCCTCTGGTTTGAAACCCCCATTTCGAGTCTTCCTGCTTATATAATCAATCAGTTCATTCCTCTGTCTGTAAGACCAAGAATTGTCACGATAAAATTTATTGGTTTGCAGTAAAGAGTCTACTTGTTGCTTTTCAATTAGTTGCGTGGAAGCCTCTGCCAAAGACTCTATTTCCGCTGTGCCAACCTCCATCTCAATCCTGACAGCCGCTTTTCTATCCTCCAAAGTCACATTATTCTGGTTAATTTCATCATCTTTTCCAGCCAGCAAATAATTGTTATTCTCCAAGTTATATTTTTGAAAAGTTCTATCAATTGATTCCAAGAAAGCAGAAGTAAAAGAATTTAAAAGTTCTTGAAAAACCTTTATAGTCACAACTTGTGAGTTTGCTGACTCACCAGACAATGATCCTCCAGCCCTAATGTCAGCCATATTTCAATATTCCCTTTATATTTATTCAGCTATCAGGTCAATAAGTCCAACTATTTTCCGCACAATTTAGAAATGTAAATTAGTTGAAGTCAAAACCATAGTCTTTTCCATTCCGCTTCCACTTTAAATCTTTTTCTTAATGTGTAATCCAGTAGCTTTAACAATGTTACAGACATTAAAAAGCACTTTCACTAGTAAGTTTCATTTTCACGCCCTCAGGCGCCATTTTTTCCCTTTTCAAACGGAGTTAAAGATCAGTACTTGCTTTTTTTGTTCTCCTGATTTGCTCTGCCAGCATCCAAAGTCCAAATTTCTTATAATCCTTAAAATTGTGTTGCTGGTGTGGTTACGACACCTTGGTCTGCATAAAGCAGACTCATCCCGGATCCAGAGCAACTGAAGGGCTTTCAGGGAGCTCTCACCCTGCAAACCCCAGGCTTAAAAAGAAAAACCTGGGGGTCTAGGAGAGCTTTACCCAGACTCTTCTGCTCTTCTCTCCCCCTTTTTCCCTGAGGGAGAGTTTCGAGCCGCTAGACAGCTGATTTTCGCTGTTCTAGCGACTAACGGAATCACGGGGCTGGAGCTCCTGAAGGAGCGTCCATCGGCGTTCGCAGAGCCACAGGAAGACCTATTATTTTCTACTCTTGAATTCTCAGTTTTATTATTTCAGATATGGGAAGTTGTGAAGAAATACAACAGACTTTCAACCAAGTATTGCAAGAAAAGGATTAATTAGAACAGCTGATCTCCAAAATTAAAAATATATTTACAATTGCGAAATCAGTACTTTAACAATGGAAGCTTTTAAACAATGATTAAAAAGTGTTGTTCAAAGGTAAGTTCTATAGATACGGTTTAAAATAGTCATAGTTGCAATTTGAAGTTTAAATACCTAAAGTGTCAAATCACAATTCTAATTACTCTGGAATGCTTACACTATATAGAACTAAGGTGTCACAAAGTTGTGGTGAACTAGTATTCCAAATATTGTGAACTTGTAATGTTGCCAGAATAATATATAAATGCATAAATTGAAAAAACAAACAAACTTAAAATTTCCCTCTTGTTCCCAATCTCATTTCCTTCTGTATTACATTAATACAGGTAAGGGCTTATTTCACACTTTTTAACCATTTTTGGAGTTTATAGCGAATGAGGTACAATGTTCTTAAATGATACCCATGCCATTATTTTATTTTTATTTATTTTACAGAATTTATATGCTGCCCTTCTCCCAAAGGACTCAGGGCAGCGAACACAGATTAAAAACATACAATAATAAAAACCCACTAAAACCAGATTAAAATAATAAATAATAAAAACCCAAGGATCAGAATCAGCCCATTTGTTGGAATAACCAAGTCTTCAGGCCTTGACGGAAGGAGCAGAGATCTGGGGCTGACCGGAGCTTGGTGGGTAGTTCGTTCCAGAGGGTAGGGGTGCCCACGGAAAATGCCCTACCCCTGGGTGTTGCCAGATGGTATTGCCTGATTGACGGTACCCTGAGGAGAGCAACCCTATGGGAGCGGACAGGACGGTGGGAAGTAGGCAGGAGATGGTCCTGCAAATACCCCAAGCCATGTAGGGCTTTATAGATCAATATAAAGTATTGATATAGATCAATACCAGCACCTTGAAGCGGATCCGGAGGACCACCAGTAGTCAGTGCAGCTCGCGTGCAGTGCAGGTGTTACATGGGAGTAATGAGGAACTCCTGTAACAACCTGCGCGGCTGCATTCTGGACCAGCTGGAGCCTCCGGGTGCACCTCAAGGGCAGCCCCATGTAAAGGGAGTTGCAGTAATCCAAGCGGGAGGTAACCAGGGAATGAGTGACCGTGCAAAGTGCATCCCGGTCTAGAAAAGGGCGCAACTGGCGCACCAGGCGCATCTGTGCGAAAGCCCCCCTGGTCATGGCTATCAAATGGTCTTCTAGGGACAGCCGGGAATCCAGGAGGACACCCAAGATGCGGGCCCTTTCAACGGGGGCGAGTACCTCTCCCCCCATCAAAAGTGACGGAGCTTCTAGAACACAGGATGCTGGCATCCATAGCCACTCAGTCTTGGAAGGGTTGAGTCTGAGTCTGTTCCTGCCTATCCAGGCCCGCACCGCCTCCAGGCATCGTGACATCACGGAAAGGGCATTAATGTCCTAGCTTTCCAACTTTCTTTGTTCTCCACTAAGAAATCATAAATCAGCGGGTCCCTTTTTATGGACCTATCTTCTCAAAGTCAATCATTTGAATACATTTCTGAATGGTTCATTTCCACTGGTTCTTACTTTTTATGATTTGTGCTGCTTCCTCCTCCTCTTCTGAGCTCTCAGAGCTGCTCTTGGGGTCAGAAATTCTGAGCTTTACTGGAGTGCCTCTCTTGGTTTCTACGGTCTTTTGTTTTGGAATTTGTGAGACAGTCCTATTAAACAGATTTTATAAGGATGCTGAATTGGAGTTAATAAGGCCTGCTAAGATTCTCAAAATGTATTCAATTGTGTGCTCCTCTTCAGAAGCACTTTCTTTATTGTGGCAGAAATAAAAGCTGGCATTTCTTTACCTTACACACACAAAAAAATCTTGATCTGATTTGATATAGTTTGATCATTTTCTCAAGAAAATATAAGGCCAGCAGACTTCAAATTTAATATTAAAAATATAATTAGAGTTATACACATCCTATGCATGACCATGAAATTACAATGCAAAATTTAATTAAGTCCAGTAATAATCTAAGCTGCAAGAACATGGTCCTAGGATTTTCTTAAAGTATTTCTACACATCATGTAAATGTTTAAGCCATATCACATACAAGAGAACAAACACAAAAGACAAAACAGCTTAACTAAATGTATCATAGTTTTATATTCATATTGCTATTGTAATTCAATGCACCAGGAGATTACTGGGCTTTGTACGAATTTATTGAGTAAAAAGGATTATTTGGGTACCAACAGTTCAAAAAAGTTTAAAACAGTGATATTCTGAAGTAAGAAAGCTAATTTAAGTATCTGTCTTAATACAGTTGCAACTATAAGCAGCTTTTTTGAATAAGTTATTGACAACAAACAAATTCTCTTCTTAGACTGTTGTTTGAAACTAGTTCAGAACCCAGTATTGGATCTGTGATACACTATTCACTAGATCAGGACTGTTAAATCAAGTGCAAAAACAATTAAATAACAATTAAGTATAGCTATAAGGTAGCAACAGGCAAACATCTCTAATCACTCTCCAATACTAAAGAGAAAAACTTACTTTTTCCACTGAGTGATGATCTCTTTCAGAGAAATATGAGATGATGGGAAAGACTTCTGTACAGGAAGAAAAAATATTGGACCAATACAATTAAATCATTTTATTATAGAATCTTTAGTACAAAAACACTGGATTAAAGTTACAATTCTAAACACGCATCTATTAAGGAGCACTTTAGTCCTTAAAACAGAGATTGATAATTAATTTTCCAAAAGGCCACATAGGAAACTGGAACTGTCATGGAGGACTGCCACTGCCCCTTTAATATTTAATAAGCTTTAATATTCAGGGTAGAACAACCTCATTTCCCACCTTTTACTTTTCAACAAAACAAAACGGTAAATGGTTGTTGGCTTCCTAATCTGTAGTTTGATGGGTCAAGTGAAAAGGCCAATCAATAGGAAGGAAACAGATTAAAAGGACAATTTTAATAGGGTATTTGCCACCAGAGACTTAACTAGAAAAAAATGAATGAAACAAGGTTACTTGTATGGCTCTTATAAAAGTCAACAACAATCTTTGTTTTCCTAAGAACAATTTGAGGAGTTTGAGGAGGAACAATTTCCTATTACATTTGAGGAGTTTAAATGTCGTTCTTTATATCCTTCTAACATAGGGGTAGGCAATAGTTGTCTACATGTTATGCATCACAACTCAAATAATCCCAAACCTATTTAAAAGTTGGAATACAATATATCTGGAAAACCAAAACTTCTCCAATCTTGTGTCCTTCAGATATATGAATATGATTGTTAGTCATGTTCTTGGTATGGTAGAAGTTAAAATAATTCTATTCAAAATTGTGGAAAGCTGGTGAGAATTGCTTCAACTTCTTTTATTTTATTTTTTTTAAAAAATGAGTATATTGGTGTTAAAGAGCATTTTACTAATTCCAAGATATTTTACAAGTGTATTTCTTTCAGTGGTCCCCGAACTCTCAATTTTCTTAGTTGACACAAAATTAAAATAAGGGAAAAAAGGCCTTCATATCTTTAGAATATTGAAGACTCTAATACCATACGTACTGTAATATCATTGCTAATTGATAGATCAAAATGACTAATAAATGTTAAATAGAGCAACAATAAATACAAATTAACAGCACTGATAAATTAATTAAAATAGTTGATGACTGTTAGCTAGAGCAATAATAAACATCCTTCTACAAATTCCTGATAATTGCTAATCACATCACTGCAAGAAATGGTAATATTTTTAGCATTCTTATTCTTCATCATATTATAATTAATACTTTTTTTTAGCAGTAGTTACAATTCTCTGCATGGTTATCGAATACAATTATTATTCAGGTACATATAGCTATCATTTTTAGCTATGTATAAATGAACTCTATATATCATTATACTTGTCCATATAAAATCTACATCTGTAGGCAATATGCTCATAAGTAACAAGTGTAAATCCATGGAGTGAAAGGCGCATACATTCATCTTTCTAGTGATTAATAGTTGTCAATAAGGACATGAAGAATCCATTTATGTTGCCTGGTTGCCAAATTCCAAATATTAGATATGTAGTTCAAAAAAAGAATACTAGCATGTGAAAAGTTTAGCTTTTGTTACACAGTCTTACTTATATAATTCAGTACTTTCACCCCAAACCTAGTATATGTAGGACACGGCAAAAATATGTTTTATAGAAGCATTATCCTTACATTCTCCATCAGATTGCTGTCATAATATTTGGCAAAGGTTTGGCATCAAAAGATCTATAACTGCTTTAAACCGCTTTATAGGAGCTCATCTATTCCTGGAATTTTACATCTTGTCCAACTTTTTAAAAAGCACTTTCTATCTCTCTTTTTTTCTTTGACAATGTATTTTTATCTTTGTGTTTGGTTTTCTCATTTTTGTCACTATTTTAAACATCAATAAAAGAATTTAAAATGTAATAAATTGTCAAAGAATCCATAACTGAATCCAAGTTCATGTTGTCCCACTTAACTACAATCAGATCAAAAGTTTCTATTAAAAGAACTCCCAAGAGTATTGCAAAGTTCTGAAAACTAGCTGCTAATTCTCAATTCCCTGGCCCTCTATCATAGCATCCTTACCGGAGCGCATGAATTATGCTATGAGCAAATTGACAGCTGCAAGGAAATTTTTTTTTATTTGCCAGAGAACACCCACATCTGTGGAGGAGCTAAATGCTATTCTTGAAGAAACACATATCCAATGCAATTCTGAGTGGGCAATGCTAACATCAAGGGAGAAGATGTGGGACCCACTGATGAGTGGAATTCATTTCAACATGCAGATTTCTTCTCAGAGAGATTTCCTGCTGGTCAAGATGTGCTGTAACCATGGCTTCAATCTCAATGCTTTGCAAATCCTGTAAATTACAGCTTATTCAATAAAATACATAGTACTTAAGGAATCAACGACTTGCACAATGTGTGATGTCACTCATCATTTTTATTGATTTCTCTAAGTTTCATTACACAAAGCAGGGCTGTGCACAATTCAAAAATGACCTCAAAGAATTGCTTCAGATATTACTCATTAGAGTAATGAGTAATTACTCCCAAACTGCACACATAGAAGCCTAAAAACATAGCTCACACAAAGCCTGATTTTTTTTCCAGTATGCACAAGTCCACTAGAAAGCGGCTTTAGCAAGCAATTATGATTAACTACTGCAATGCTCTCTACATGGGGCTCCCCTTGAGGAGCACCTGGAGGCTCCAACTGGTGCAGAATGCAGCCGCGCGGGTACTTATGGGGGCGACATGGCGCTCCCATGTAACACCTCTCCTGCGTGAGCTGCATTGGCTTCCAGTGGTCTTCCGGGTGCGCTTCAAGGTACTGGTTCTCATCTTCAAAGCGCTCCATGGCTTAGGGCCTGGTTATTTACGAGACCACCTTCTGCCACCGAGAACCTCCCACCGGCCAATACGCTCCCACAGAGAGGGTCTCCTCAGGGTGCCGTCGGTCAGGCAATGTCGACTGGCGACCCCCCGGGGAAGAGCCTTCTCTGTGGGGGCACCCGCCCTCTGGAATGAGCTACCCCCAGGGATACGACTGATCCCATACCTCCGAACCTTTCGTCGGGCTCTGAAAACAGTCAGTTAATAGTTGGATAACCTTTAGCATGAATTACGGCCTTACAACATCTTCCCATGGAGTGAACCACGTCTTTTAGTTCTGTAGCTGTTATAATGTGAAACCAAAATTGAATGATTGCTTCTATTAACTGGGTTTTATTGCCGGGTCACTTCTGACTAACAAGTTTCTTTAGTCGGCTCCATAGATTTTCAATTGGGTTAAGGTCTGGGCTATTGCCAGGCCATTCCAGCAGTGGAATATGATTATCTTTAAACTCCCCCCAAAAAAGTGGTGTTATTAGCCATCAAATCTCAAAAACACACTTTTCCCAAAAGGTTTCCACAATTTTGGCCACTACTGCAAAGATTCAAATGGTTTAGAAATCCAAAACTTGAGGAAACAAGTGTTTCCCGCTATGTTCTTACCCCAAAATCAACACTTTTAAGTACGGCTCTTGTTCTTAGCATCCTGACACAAGAGGCTGCATACTATGTGGGACCACAGGGGACCGCTGTAGTCCCTTGGCTATTTCCTCGGGAGACCAGGTTGGCACTGATGCCACCTGCCGCAGCATCCATAGACTGACCATGACTTTAATCTGCAAGTGTTTCTTTGTCAGTGTTAATTTAAAAAAACACAAATCATAGCAAGTTATTTATTTTCCTTGATTTGCTTTCAGGGATGGTCATTTGCCACAGGACCCAAAAGCACACAATAGATATTGTAAGTAAGTAAAATACATAATGGGAAGAACTTTCAGATTAGTTCTTATTCAAAACCACATTTTCCCCACTTAATGCTGTATTCATTCATCTATAACTCATTAAGCAATGTCTGTAAAGCTGTGCCAGTAGCCTTACAGGAACAGAAAGTAGAGGCAGTTTAGATGAATCAATATTTCTATATTACACTAGCAATAACACTTAGATTTATATTCCGCTTCACAGTGCTTTACAGCCCTCTCTAAGCGGTTTACAGAGTCAGCATATTACACTAACTGATTGCCTTTTTGATACACAGTGAGTAGAATCTCAAGCATTCCAAGTACAATATAAAGAACCCAGTTAACAAATTTAAAGATATCAGCCCAAGTTGTAATAAGCAATGGCAATGCCTTATGAGTCCTTAGCTCTTCTAATATAGCTCTTTATCTTTCCATTTGAGCATCATTACAAATCTATGCTCAGTGGGAATATAAAAAGAACATAGCAGAGACATACGTAGCATTTATAGAAAAACATAGCATTAATTTTCATTAGTCAAGTAGTAACAATTAAAAGCAAAAATCTATGAATTATAATCCATACAGAGGTTGTGGTCTGTTCACACTGCATATTAACACTTCTATATTGCTCTCTCTGATGTGTTTCTTTAACTGATATCACTATTAAAATAGATGCCATTCTGTATATCTGGAAATTGAATATGGAAATCTGTGACAAGGTTGATTTCCAATCCATCCAAGAGGACATTCAGTTCAGCTCTCAAAATCACAGTTTCAGTCATACGTGATGGGGGAATAACAGGATAGAGCACGCTTATCAACCAACTCTTATGGTTTAATTTGTCTTGCAAACAGACATAGGAATGCCTACAATGGGCAAAAAGTCTTAATTACTTATAGCCTCTGATTGCAGTTGAGTGAATCTCAACTTATAAACAAAATACCCAAATTGATGGAGGACCCATGTGCTACTTAATTAGACAACAGTTGCCATCATGGCCTTCTTCCACAATGAAACCGAACTGAAAATAGGGGAAGAAAAGATTCTTCCAGCAAAGTGTTTATGATGAGCACTACAGTGCAGTTTTTTACTAAATGTTCATTTTACATAAGCTAGTATCACATCTCTAAGTGAGTTATGAACCTCAAGAAGGACAGTATTTCTAAGGTAGAATCAGGGCATCTGGCAATTCATATGCTTAGAAATACATCCCTCAAAGGCTGAAACAGGCAAAATTAGAGTAAGGTGCAAATTTGCCTTATACCTTTTAGATGATCATTTTACTTTGATTATTCCATATCACCGCACAATGACCATTGCTTATTTAGGTATGCTACACGGCCACAGGAATGCTTAAAAGACATTAAGTGTGCCTAAAACTTGTACCATGCATACGTATTCAACCTCTTCAATAGAATCCTTATCCGGAGAATGTACATAATCTGATCACTGCCCTAAGTGTCCAAAGAGAAAGGAGAGACTGTTTTTAATCACAAAAGTAAATTCTTCCAGACAGCTCTGTAAAAGCAGATGATTAGTGACAATTTCCAAGCCCAGATGGTGAAGCTACAGGAGGCGAGCACCACAAAACTGTAGGTTTGCATGAATGAATACATACATACATACATACATATATCCTCCACTTAAGTCCCTTTAGAATTATGTGGCTTCCAAATTAAAAAAAAAAGGAGGGGAGGGGGAAGCCACAATAAAACTAACCCAAGGACCAGGGCGCCCTGTTTCAAAGATCCAGAAGAAGCTACTTGCAAGGCTAAAGGAGAAACCTTGCGAAGGGAAGGAACGGTTCAACTTGCAACCTGGCCCGCAGCTGACTTCCAAGAAAGGCTGCCTTTCTTTCTACAAAGCAGCAATGCTGCAGGTCCCCATGTTTCCAGCCACGTGGGCCAACGGCGCCTTTACCTGGCCGCTCTGCTCCAGCAACTCCTTGGCTGCGCTCTCATAACCCAGCTGGATCAACTGCTGGTGCATCAGAGCCAGCAGCTCTTTCTGCTCTCGCGCAGCTGTCGCCATGCTCTCGCCCCGCGCCCGCGCGCGCACGTGTGTGTGGTGGGGAGAGACGTGGGAGGCAACAAGCTCTCCTATCCCACAGGCATGATACCTCTACCGCAGGCCCCGCGTGTAGAGCAGGCGGCGGACTAATCACATGCCCCAAGCTGCCTGTACCTCTACCCTTTGCCCGTGCACCAGCGCGTACGTCACTTCCTCTTCCCACCCCTACCGGTCCTCGGGCTTCTGGGAAATGTATTCTGAGCGCGAAAGGTTACTCGGTGTGTGTCCTTTTCGGCATGTTTTGTCATTATTATTATTATTATTATTTTTTGAGAACAAAACGGTGGTGAGCAATTGAAATAATAGCACCAGGATTCGAATTATTTGGGAAGGTGTAAAATACCTTGGTATTTTGTTTTCTGGAGCAACAGGAAGGGAAACACTCCCATCTGAAATCTTAACTGGAATAAGTCTCTTGCTACATTGCATTACAATATTAATGTTATATCTTTAAGGTGTCAATAGGTTTTTTTTTCTATAACTTTTTATGGTTATACAAATTATTTTAAAATTTTTATTTATTAAATTTATATGCTGCCCATCTCACTATCCACATACAGCACTAACTGTTAGCAACATAGATTCAGATGAAAACACCTATACACTTTAGATAAGTTCAAATCACCAGGATCGGATGGTTTACATCCAGAGTTCTGAAGGAGCTGGCAGAAGTGATCTTGGAACTACTGACCAGAATCTTTCAGAGCTCTTGGAGCACAAGAGCCAGAGGATTGGAAAAGACCTGATATGGTTCCAATCAGGGGTGGGTTCTAATTTTTTTTACTACTGGTTCTGTGGGCGTGGCTTATTTTGTGGGTGTGGCTTGGAGGTCATGTGACTAGGTGGGCGTGGCTAGCTGGTCAGAGTCGTTTCTGGAAGGTCCTCGCACTTACGACCAAGTACTCGCACTTACGACCCGACTCATTTGTTTGCTTTTAACACTGATCAGCTGTAGGATGGCCCTTTGAAGCCCTGGCAAGAGTTTAAACAGTTTTTTTCCCTCTAGCCATCAGCTGGGACTCAGGAGGCAGCAATAGATTGGGGGTGGGACCAAATAAAAGGTAAGAATAACGTGGGGTGGGTGGGAGAACCAGTTCGGTGACGTCATATCGTCACCGCTACTGGCTCGGCCGAACCGGACTGAACCAGGAGGAACCCACCACTGGTTCCAATCTTCAACAAGGGGAAAAAGGTGGATCCAGGAAACTAAAAAGCAATCAGCTTGGCATCAAAGCAACATCCAGGTAAAATCCTGGGAAAGATAATCAAGCAGCACGTTTGTAAGCATCTAGAAATGAACAAGGCAATTACTAGAAGCCAGCATGGGTTTGTTAAAAGCAGATTATGCCATACAAAGCTTATTGCCTTTTTTGATAAAGTGACTAAATTAGTGGGTCAGGATAATGCTGTGGATGCATATACATGGACTTCAGTAATGAATTTGACAAAATAGACCATTCTTGGTAAAATAGAAAAATGTGGGATAGTGCCACCACTGGATGGATTCGCAGTTCGCATGTAGCCCTCAATGGAATTACATCTACATGGAGGGAAATATGCATTGGGCTATGTCAGGGTTCTGTTTTGGGGCCAGTAGTCTTTAACATCTTCATAAATAATCTTGATGAAGGGATATAAGGAGAGCTCATTAAATTTGCAGATAACACCAAGCTGGGGGAGAATTGCTAACACTTTGAAAGATATACTCAAGATTCCAGATGTGAGCATGGGGCCCTTTGCAACAAGATGCAGTTCCTTGAGGAGAAAAGCAAGGTTCTGTATTTAGGCAGAAAACCAAAATACACAGTTTAGAATAGACAATACCAACAGTAGTAACTATGAAAGGAATCTAGGTGTCCTAGTGGACCACCATTGAAATATGAGCCAGCAGTGTGCTACATCTGTTTAAAAGGCTAATGCAGTCCTAGGATGCATCAACAGAAGGGTAGCATCAAGATCATGAGAAAAGAGAGTACCGTTTTACAGTCTACTAGTGAGGCCACACTTGGAATACAGTTCTGGTCACCATGACACAAAAAAGATACTAAGACCCTAGAAAGAGTGCAGAGAAGAGCAACAAAGATGATAAGGGGTCTGGATGCTAAATCATATGATGAACAATTAAGAGAACTAGGGATGTCTAACTAACCTAATGGGGTGACATGATAGCTGTCTTCCAGTACTTGAGGGAGCGCCACAGGGAATGCCACAGAGAAAAGGCAATTGACTTATTCTCCAAAGCACCTGAGGATAGGACAAGAAGCAATTCATGGAAGCTCGTTAAAGAGAGATCCAACGTAGAACTAAGGAAAAATTTCCTGACAGTGGGAACACTTAATCAGGGAACAGTTTGCCTTCAGAAGTTGTGGGTGTACCATCTCTGGATATTTTCAAGGAAAGATTGGATTGGAACCATTTGTCTGGAATAGTATAAGGTCCCCTGCCTTGAGTAGAAGATGTCCCTTCCAGCCCAATAAATCTATGATTCTAGATCAAAGACCTTTCTAATCCAGCATTTGGTTCCTGCAATATACCTTCTTATTTGATAAGTCCACAAAGAGCATTGGTAGAACAGGATTATTCCATTCTCTCTCTTCCTCCTACTCTCCCTCTCTCCCTCTCCCTCTCCCTCTCCCTCTCCCCCCCCTCTCTGTGTGTGTGTGTGTGTGTGTGTGTGTGTGTTGCTTTGAAGTCAAGTCAGTATTGACTCTTGGCAATTGCCTGGATTAGTCCATGCAGTTTTCTTGGAAAGTTTTCAGAAGTGGTTTTCCATTTTCCTAGGGCCAAGAGAAAAAAGTCTACCACAGGGTGACCCTTGCCTAAAGCAAGACTAGAACTCACAATCTCCCAATTTCTAGCCTGATGACTTAAAGCACTATACTAAACAGTCTCTCTCATTCATATTCTTCGGACCCTTCTAACCAGTAGGCATTTATAACCTCCGTCCATTACAAGAACAGCATTATGTGTGAGTATGAAAAGCTAACTCAGAAAAAAAGCAACAAAAGGACAGGCTTGCAAATGCTTGTTGCAGGTGATGGCTTCTGAGTTTGCCTCTGATCATCAAACTCTATATTATCTGTTCTGTAACAGATTTGAAACAAAATAATGCTTTGGATTTTTTAATTTTAATTTTGAAAAGTACATTGGAATTGAATTGCCAAAATTGTAGAAGCTGTTCACCAAGAAGGCAAAATAGTTCTGTATGTATGAGGCAGTGGTGGGTTTCAAAATTTTTTACTACCAGTTCTGTGGGGGTGGCTTGGTGGGGGTGGCATGGCTTGGTGGGCATAGCTTGGTGGGTGTGGCAGGGGAAGGATACTGTAAAATCTCCATTCCCTCCCCAATCCAGGGGAAGGTTATTGCAAAATCCCCATTTCCTCCCAATCAGCTGGGACTCGGGAGGCAGAGAATAGATGGGGGCGGGGCCAGTCAGGGGTGGTATTTACTGGTTCTCCGAACTACTCAAAATTTCCACTACTGGTTCTCCAGAACTGGTCAAAATCTGCTGAAACCCATCACTGGTATGAGGTCATTTTAAATTTTTCCTGTTCTAAGAGAGGATTCACTTCACACAAGTATTAGATTATGCAAGATGTTTTTTTTACTCCTCACCTGAAGAGCATATAGGTTTATACATAGATAAGCAACATCTCTTTCTAATTTTCAATCCTAATTACTATTGGTTATCAGGAAACCAGTCATTTACAAATAACCTCATTGGTTTCTCAAGAATCGCAGTGTACTGTAGACGGTCTGTTATTTGGAAATGTTCCTTAACCAAATGTAGCTTGAATCCTTATTTACATTGCCTGTAAATATTCAATATTTTATGTAAATATTGTTCTATGTTAATAGCACTTCCTCGTTTCAAAATAGTTGATTATATATGAACGCTTATACCAGACCATCTGACCATCTGGCTAAATAAAGTTAGTTTTACAGGTAGGTAGTTTATACATAGGTACAAACTATAGAGCAATTAGATTGTGAAGGTGCTAAAGTTAGCACTTTAGAGGATAATTTTGACTGTGTTCAATCTTGGCAAAGAAAGATGCTACTATTTTAGACATCTAATAACACCCAGAGAAGGCTTCTTTAAATACAGTGTATGTGTGTGAGTGTGTGTATGTATATGTATACATAGTATATTTATATGTATATATAGTACATGTATACATAGTATATGTATATGGGATGTACTGTATATGCATACACACATACACACGCATACACAAGTTTACAATATTGAGACAGCTGACAAAGAATATGCACCAGTGGTGGGACTCATCTCCGGGGTGGGTGAGTGGATGAGTCTGCCTATCGAGATGAGGTGGACCGGTTGCTTTTGTGGTATGTAGACAATAACTTGGTCCTTAAAACCAATAAGACCAAGGAGCTCATAGTGGACTATAGAAGGAATAGATCAGACATCCAGCCCCTGCTTATAAATGGAGACCGAATGGAGCAAGTGACCAGTTTTAAGTTTCTGGGTGTTATCATAAAAGAGGACCTGACCTGGGGCACTCACCTTACAGCACTGGTCAAAAGGGTCCAGCAGAGATTATACTACCTGAGACTTCTCAGGAAACAACAACTGAATGAAAAACTGCTGGTGACCTTCTACCACTGCACCATAGAGAGTATTTTAACTTATTGCACCTGTATATGGTTTGCCAATTGCACAATGGCAGATAGGACTGAGGATCATTGGTTGCCCTCTGCCCTCTTTGGAAGAGCTTTATAGCTCCCGCTGCCTTAAAAAAGTTCAAAACATTCTTAAAGTTCCACCTCATCCTGGGCACCCTTTTTTTGAACTATTACCATCTGGGAGACGTACTGAATAATAAAAACAAGGACAAATAGGCTGAAAAACAGCTTCTATACCAGGGCAGTAACTACTGTATATTGAATTCTACTGCATAGTGCAATATTAATGCAATATCGGGTTTTCAATTCAATTGTATAGAATGTGAAGGATGTGGGTTTGTGTTTTATTTTTATAGCTATAATGTACACTTAAGATGGCATTTAATTTCGTTGTATGAGGTGAATGACAATAAAGTAAACTAAACTAAATTAACTAAACATTGCGCATAGAGGAA